CGCAAGGGAAGAGTCGGGACTACGCCTTGAGATGAGAGGAGCTTCAATCGGTGTGTCTGAAACGCTCACGTTCGAACGTATCTTTCTTGCCACACCACAACACTAAACATGTCTGGTAAGATGCTCACTTGTTCATGTTCAGGTCGATAACCAGTTGCTGCTGCGCTTCCCTCTGCTGAACTTTGAGAGCATGGGTGCTGCTGATTCCCAGCCCCTCGAGGCCGGCGCAGAAACGGGATGCTTGGGCATCGTTAAAATGTGCTTCCATTTTGAGCCAACGGCCCATTGGAGTGTGCAGAGCTTGCTGCTGTTGGAGAGCTGCTTTTTCGAGCGCAGCTACTTCCAAACTTTGCCTCTCTGCCTCCGCTTTCGCAGCAGCGTCATTCTTCCGCGCCAGAGCCTCCGCCTCCTGAAGCTCCTTGTTCGTCCGCTCCACCTCCTGCTGGCGGCGCCTTTCCTCTGCCGCGGATTCGGCGCGCTGGCGAGCTTCGATGAGTCCTGTTTCCGCTTCGACGCGGCGACGGTCTTCGTCCTCCTGCGCGAAATGTGAATGTGGAATAGTGCGTGGGAGTCGTCAATCTCAAAGCACTCTTCATCATACAGCGGTTGCTCCAGCATCTCCAATCACGTCAACGCAAAAAACAAAAATGGACAAGCTCGTGAACGAGGCACGGCATAACGCGCTTGAATGCCCCACGCGGAGCAAAAGCGAAGTGAGTGCTGAGTTATAACTCTCCATGTTCTGGACAACTATGAGTTTGAGAAAAGCATGACGGTTTAACCGGAATCACGGCAATACCCTCTGCGGAGACAATCAAGTACCCTGCACGCGCGGTCTTTCTGTACAGAGGTCATGCAAAACCCATGTTCCTACATAACATACCTTGCGCCTCCTGCGCCATGCTTCCATGACAAGAGAAGCCAGCACATCAGGCATCTCCACCTTTCCAAGTACGCCCTCCAGGGTTTCCTTGTCTATCGCGAAGATTGCCTTGGGATTATCAAGATGGCAAGCGCGGATACCGACACCGAAGACCGCCGAACTTCTACCATCGAAGCCGAGATCTTGGTGCAACCAACGACCAACGTCCCCACACTGCCTTCCAAGTTCCTGCTCGGCCCGTTCCTGCTCGGCGCGTTCCTGCTCGGCGTGTTCCTGTTTGGCCCGTTCCTGCTCGGCCCGTTCCTGCTCGGCCCGTGTCTTGTCAGCCAACCTCGACTGCAGCCTGATTTTCCACGCCTCAAGTGACTCGTTCGGCCCAGGTCCCCCTGCAAGAGCGGGAGGGAAACTTGTCGCCGAATCTAACATTCTCACATTTTATCACGTCTTCAGCAGGTGCACACGGGGCTCGACTATGCCAAACGCTATCTCAACATTTAACATTTTGTGTTCGCTGTAGGTCTCACTCGTGAGGTTGGAAAACTTTACCTCAGGGCGGGTCGGAAATGTCGGCATATTAAATCACAGTACTCGCTACAACACGTGCAGGTTTGGGGACTACGTTAGAGGGCGTTGTTTAGGGGTACTCAGCACTCGATACGGATCTCCGGAGATCTAGGGGGTTTCCTGTATCATTGGTGTTACGTGATTGTAGAGGTGCGGTCCCCCTTCTGTTTGCATGGGCAAGCATGCCCTGGGCACTCGGTAATATAAAGGTCTTGAGTCAACCTTCTCTTCTCTGCGCTTCTGACAACAAGCTGCCCGCCTCCAAATACAATCGATCGGGCCTGGTTGAGGGCAGCCGGTAGGAGCGTAAGATATACAAGAGCGCTTCGCGGTCGCCGCTACGCTCGTAGGTTGAATGGCGATGGCAAGTGTGTGCGGGTTGAGTTTTGAAATGAGAGGAACGAAGGAGAGTGCTATAAAAAGACCAAAGAAGTGCTGTGAACAGGAAAGTTGTTTGTTCTTATTTGTTCGAGAGCGGAGACGCACAATAAAATTAAGCTACAGTGATGCGACGGCCGGAGGACAGTATTTCAATAATAAACTTGTTATAAGCAACAAAGGCTCGCTTCTCTCTCCCTTTCCCCTTCTCCCATGTGTGCTACCCACCGCCCCTCCCTCAGCGAGACGGTACAGAGAGCCGAATACATTTTGCTTGTAGGGTGTGTTCTTCGTATGTACAGCGGTCGGTGGTGAGAACCGGGGTTGAGTACGGGAGGCGAGGAAAAGCAGCAGCGCAAATTATTTTAGCTTACTTAGCACGTTTTGAGTGTGCGTGTGTTGTCGTCCTACTTCCTACTTCTTTACTACGGCGAAAGTCCCCCGGTTTTTCGTGGTGAGACGTGTACCACACTTTTCAGTGTATGTACTATACTATCAGTGTTAAGTAGAGTACTACACTTTTCAGTGTATTTTTCGTACAACTACAACCATCCAGGGTCACGCAGGAGGGGGTAAACACCAGTTTTTTCTTTCTCATTTTTATTTATTCATTTTCGTGCCCAACCTTCCTCCTGCGGTGCGTGCTGAGTAAAAGCAAAAAAAGCAAGCAGAGAATATCAGAAATGCGGAGAATTTATCTGAACCAACAACGCATAATGATTTTCTTTTCTCTCTCGGGCGGGTGTAGTTTTGCAGACAGCAGCTGTGCGCACGACACCGACCGCTGACGCCCCCGCTTTTCGTCGGGATCGAAAGAGCGACGCTCTACAGCAGCTGCAGAATGCTTTGTCTCATGTCCTGCAGAGACTTGGTTGCTTGGTTGTCGCGTGTGGCGAGGGTGTGTAGCCAGCGCATACGCACCACGACCAGCCGCTTGCAGAATGCATGAATGGCCTGCGCTGCTGTCAAGAAATCGGGGTCTGATTGGTGGAGTCACGGTAGATCTCGGAGACGCGACTTTCTGCCCTCGGTAGCGCTCGGCGACGGCCGCCCCGAGAGCGGGTCGCGCACGGGCGAGGCCCTCGCGGCCCAGGGCTACCGGCAGACACGACTCCCGCAGCGGAAGGAGGTGTACGGGCGGAGAAACCGCGAAAAAAGGGCTCTAGGCTCACGAGAGCATCAGAGTCGGAATGCTGCACAATATCGTGAGCCCTCAGCCCGTAGGAAACCCGTCTCCAGGTCTATATTGCTGCGAGACGTGCTACAGCTTACAACTTGTGTGGGGGGCCGTGTCACTTCCGGCACGGCAGCGTGGGTGGTATTTTTCTGAGAGCCGTATCACCTTCGGAACGGCGGCGTGGTGTCCAATCTGTGTATTGTGTGTGCGTGATCAGCAACTTCTTCTGGAGCTGGTACGTCAGGAAGGCCGACGTGTGACGCATGGCCAAGCCGGAGCAGCCATCGCTCCTAGGGGGGGAAAGAAGCGCTGCGCGCGAGAATCAGCGGGAGACTCCGTTTCCCCAATTTCGTACGGTTTCTGGCGCGGAATGCGGCAGCACCTGCGGCGACTGCACCTGCTCCTGGAACTGTCGCTGGAGATGACGTGCGTAGTTTTCGGAGATGCGGCGGAACTCGGTGCACTGCTTTGAATCCTTTTGTCGATAGGGCTACGGGTCACGTGCTCATGAGTGGTGCTAGGCGTCTACAGGGAGGAGGTAGCAATGATCAGCAGACACAGCAGCAGCAGCAGCAGTGGGGTGGTTCTCGCCAGCAAGGCCTGTAGCGGCAACAATGGTTTCGTGTTGCGTGGGGGTAGTGTTCCGCAGCGGCTTCCGTATCGACACCAATCGTATCAACGCCAACGGCGTCCGTCCTTGCCTCGTGCTGCCTCACGGCGACCCTTCTACGGTAAGCCGTAGTTTGGGATTGGGGGAAGTTACGACTGCGGGAAGAACGCGGGGTACCATCAGCCGGACTCGCCGCCTCAACCGAACATGCCGTGTATGGTGTGGAAAACATGGACACAACGCTATGCACTGTGCTACACCGAGGCGGTTTGAGGCCAAGTGCTCCACCACTGCCGTGAATATGGCCACATCTCAAACATTTGTGTCATGCGTGGTGATGGAGTGGTACACCAGCATGTGAACGCCGTTGCGACACCTGTGACGACATGGTCCATTGCGGGGGAAATGTCCGCGGAGGCGGGGTTGACTTCTTCTTTCGCGAGGAGGGTTCCCAGTTTACAATCACTTCAGACTGGTCCTTTGCATTTTCTGTGGCGCCCGTATTCGCGGTTGGACCCGCGGCGACGGCGAAGTGGTGGTGTTTTCCCTGCTCTGGCGGCGGGGAGAATGGCTGGAGAGCCCGCGGTGGCGGCTGCGGCGGTGACATCGGCGGCACCCCCAGCGGCGACGGCGGAGGCGGCCAGAGGTGGTGTTTTCCTCACTGCGGTGGCGGGCTGAACAGCCGGAGCGCCCGAGTTGGCGGCTGGAAAGGCGGGATCGGCGTCCGTGGCACCGGCGGCCACGGCGGCAACAGAGCAACGCTCCGTGGCGATAGTGGAGTCGCCAACACAGCTTGTGCAACACCAGTACCAGCAGCCGGAAGAGATGAGGGATGTCGCCTTCGGAGGTGGAGCCACCACTGCTTGGCATCCGTCAGGAAGAGGCAGAACAGACGGACGACACCGACAGCAGCCGCAGCAGTGATGATGGAAGGCACGCCGAGGAGGTCGGCGCCAGCAACAGCAGCGGCAGCAACAGCCGGGGCAACGACGGGGGTTGGATGTTGCCTGGTTTGGAGCATAGCTCCGCTCCCTCGACCCGGGGAAACGAAGCATCGGTAGCAGCCGCAGTGGTGGCGGACGATACGCCGAGGAAATAGGCGACTGGAACAGCAACACCAGCAGCAGCAGCAGCGGCAGCAGCAGCGACGAAGGGCTCGATGAGGCCTGGTTTGGAGCATCGCTGCGCCCCTTCGACACGGGGAAACAGCTGACGGCGAGGGTTGGGCGGGGCGTGCTGGGGGTGGACACCCCTTTCGACCGTGGAAAGGCGTTGGGGCGGCGACGGCCGGGGCGCATGCGTTCACAGGCGGAGCAGGGGAGGAGGATCTGGGGGCCACGGGAGCTGGGCGCCGAGACATCTTGGCGGGAGATTCCAAGTCTGGCCCGATGCGCAACGCGGGGAATTTTCCAGGTTTGTGTAATATTTTGAGCGGTCTCTAGATGCAAGGTTCTTATTTTGGTTGACAATCGTGGTCAAGTGTTTTGCTGTTCAATTTCTCGTTTGTGTGTGTTTTGTTACAGAGGTGTCTGATCATCTTTTGTTGCAGATAAGCGTACGATCGTGATGGAAGACAGAGACATAGGAAACCTTCGTCTCCAACCACTGTTGCTCGCTGTACACAAAGCTGAAAATTTGACGATGTTGAACGTGACAGCAGGCGGTGTTCCCCAAGAACCGAGTATTTGCAACACGCAATTGTGTAGATCAGCTATTCGACCACAGCCACTTGACGAACTTTTGCAAGGCATTTATCGCAGGAAGTCGATTTTCAGTGTCATAGGGCACGCTGGTAGACAATGTGGTGGGTGCTTATTTCTGTACATATCTGTTACTGTGCTTGACCTGTAGCACATTGCGGGACGTTCGCCTTGACGGATGAGATGAAGGACGCACGTTTGGGGGACGAGGTATTGTAGTATGGGTTTACATGTGTTAGCACTAGTGGACTTACGAACCACTTTGTCCAGAGTTTGGGAGGGGGGCATCGGTGATTGTATCACGATGGAACAAGGAACGGGGTTGGTCACCGACTGCGATGTCGGCACATGGGGGTTACTGCTTTGATATGACTTGTGTGGGGTATTTGGCTAAGGTGTGTTTATGGGATGCGTTGTTAGCCGGATCGCGTTTTACCTGCGAACTTGGTGCCTGAGTACTTTAGGGAGGTGGTTCTAGTCGCGTTTTACCTGCGAGCTTGACACTTTGCTTTTTTGTCTCTAGCGGGAAGGGCCTTTCACGTTCAATTTCTCGTTGGGGGTCGGCTATTGGTGTTTGGCATTTTGTCTTAGACGGGGGTGGGCGCTTTGCGTCCATATCCTTCATTGCCATTGTTTTCTGGCAGCTCGTTGCTGACGTTGTGTGGTGCTTCTGGCGGTTGCTGCGTATTCGGAGTGTCGATTGGCATGATGTTGGATGTTGTGCAGATCACTGTTGGTTGTTCTGCTGTCGAAAATCATGGGGGGGGGGGGGATGTGATACCATGATGCCCGCCGCAGTACTGCTTTTTGCAGTATTTCTGCTGACACGAGTTTTTGGTATTTGATGTTCGGATTGGGTTTCTTCTTGTATCACCACAAGTATTTTGCTTTTGAGGGTCTTGATTTGGTTTATATTTTCTGAGAGGAGGCCTCGGAAGGAAGGGTGGCTGTTGACTATCACTTCATGTTTAGGTATCCGCAGTAAGTCGTAGGTTTCCCTTTGTGTTTCCGTACACATTTGGTTTTTACTTCGTCTTGGCTACTGCATATATTTCTGTGTATTTTAGAGGAAGGATTTGATTTAACCTTGACGGACCTTGAGACACTATTCCGAAGGAAAATGAGTTTGACATCGTAAGGTTCAGGGGAGGTCACATAACTATGTTTCGCGGGGTTTGATTGGATGGCATTAACCTTATCGCCGTTTTACCTTGTGATAGTTGAAGAGTTTCCTAGATCATATCGAGTACCGAGTGGGAGGGCTTTTTGGGGGTACTCAGCACTACGGATCTACGGAGATCAACGGGGTTTTTGTGTATCATTGTGCTACGTGTATTCCGCGTGCATGCGCTAGCATGCCCTGCGCACTCGTTCATGATATAAGGTCTTGAGTCAATCGTCTCTTCTCTATGCTCCGACAACAAGCTGCTCGCCCCAAACTTGACATGCCTCTCCGAAGGGATTGAAGCCAAATAGACTACAATATAGTTCAAAAAAGAGGTGAAAAAGAGGGCTGCTGGCCTGTACTTTTGACACAAATTTAAACCGCCCCAAGCGTCGACAGCCCAAGCTGAAGGCATGCGCTGGTCCGCCTTTCGATGCTCGTTTTTTACGTGGGCTGCTTACTTTCCCAGCTGGCAGCGGGATGGGGACGCTTTTGGTGCGATGAGCCGCCAGGGAGAGCAAGCCCAAGCTGCAGGGGGGGCACTCATGACAGGAAACGCACCCCCCGGGGCATGCGTTGCAGGTTACGTCCCCCCCTTCGACAAACCCTGCTTGTGCACCTTGATCTGACCTGCAGGGTGTAACGAAGACTGAGCAGCGCGTACGGTGTAGTGCCAGCCGATGCGAGTTTCGTCGAGGGCCGATGGGCACATGTAGGTCCAAATCTTGGGTGTGATTTTTGTGCCAGGCGAGGTCAGCAGAGGGATGACGAAATGCTGTCGCGGGCGGTGTGCAGGTCGGACGGTGTTAAAACTCGGCACACAGCAGTTGTGTGGACAGTGTTAGCGTTGGCTGTCCGAGTTTCGTGGACGTTCGTGAGCAGGATGTGGAGTTATCGACCCGGCAAAACTATCGTGTGCCGTACTGCTGTGGGCGGCGCAACTTGACGAGAAAACCAGCCGAAACGGTGTTCGTTGCCTCGTTCGCTCGCCTCGCCACCGTCCTTACCGAGACTTGCGCAGCACGCCTACTTTGTCCTAGTGCATGAGCCGCGGCCAGCATGGGGCTGTATCTTGCTCGGTTGCGGAGAACGCCGTAGCGAAAAAATGCAAGGGGTGACCCAAGAGGGGAGCCTCGGGATTTGTACTTTTTCGCTGCGCTGCCTGCGACGCGAGGTGAAACACGATGTCCGCTAGTCCTTCAATGACAGATAGAACTACTTGTTGCGCCCAGAGAGGCTCCTTCGCTAAGACACTAAGACGATGTTGTCCGTGTCGCGCGTCGCGAGTGATGTGTTGGGCGGAGGGGAGGTCATGCTCGTGTGTGTGCGTATGTAGTCGGATCTGTAGAAGTGAAACGCTCGGCGTGCTGGCGAGGGCTAGGGTGTGCGCAGGCAGGGCCGCGAACCTCCTCGTCGTGGCGTTATCGTGGCGTTGTTGAGCTCAGAGAACTCAGCTTCGGCAATGAAGAACAAAAAGGAAGATACACTAAAAACACGTTAAACGGATGCTGATAAGGCTGAAGCAAGATAAAATGCCTGCGTTTGACACCAGTGTCACTTCGATTGAAATTCCTTGTACCGGGCAGCAGGCGTGGGTCGCGCGAAGGCACCGCCGCGATTTCGTGCGCGTAGCTGTCGCGAGCTAAGAGAAATCGGCCGCGGTCAAGATATCATGGTCAAGGAACCGCTTTCACACCGGTGCCAAAAATTCTGTTGGGTTCGTTTGCTTCCGTAGCAGAAACCACAGGATTGGAACAAAAATGACATCCCACAGCTAAGGGTGAAGGCGAGCGATTTGTTCTAAAACACGTGACCCGAAACAACACTTGCTCTAAAAGATGTGCCCCACTACCGCTTCTATGGCATTCATGAAATTACTCTTTGGTTTGGTTGGTTAGGAACTATTTCCCAGGAGTTTGGAGCTCTCAGCAAGCTGAAGCGCTTTCCCTTTCCTTCGGCCAGCTTTCGGGTAAGAGGCGGGCACCATTTTCCCGTGAAGGCATATTTTCAAAGTCGCTCCGCTGGTTCTTGAAACCTACTTGCCGACGCAACGTAAACGTATTTTGGGGCGTGATGCACTTTTTGTCGCCGGCTTCTAGGACATGTGTTCATCCTACGCCACGCGCATGCACGATTTCATAAATCTGGTGTGACGTAAACGCGCCGAGTCTGTCGGACAGACTTACCGCTGAGTTTGTTTCCGCGGAGGTCCAGCGTTTCCAGCTTGACGAGCTGTCCTAGCGACGCCGGGATTTCGCCTGCACGATGGCAATTGGGGGATGGGAAGGGTACTATAATTTAGTTCGTAGGTGGATCGTGGAGCACAGACGTAAATTATTGTAAAGCATCGATGTGCGTAAATCGATACTACTGTACATGTTCCAGAAGCCGCAGGATCCACGTCCGGAACTCTCTAAAGTTTACTTTTGCGTGCGCTGCAGGTCCCATTCCCCCTGAGCGGGGGAACCTCGGTGCCCTGGAAACGCTCGACCTGGGATTCAATGATCGAACAGGTGAGAACAAATCGAGCAAAATTGGACGCTGTTCTTATTCTTCTAGAACAAGACGGTTTCCGTAGATGCTGTCCCGCCAACGCAGTGGGCGGGACAGGATCTACGGACATCGATTTTGAAATTTTAGCGTGCCACGTGAGTATCCATCTCTCTTCCAATTCTCCGATGTCATGTTTTCGCAGGACAAATCCCGACGGAGCTAGGGAACCTACGCATGCTGCCAATGCTTTGGCTTGCCAACAACAAGCTTTCTGGTGAGCACGACAAAATATCCTGAGTGTGGAGGTAATTTTGTTTTCGACATGGGTACGTGAATCCCGCGTATGCAACCAGGTCGAGCAGCGCTAGCTTATTTTGAGCGCCGAGCTGCGCCGGAATCGCACCTGCAGAAGAGTCACACATTAGCGGGGGATATAGAAATAAATCACCCGGCTCTCCTTTTTCGGGATGTTCGATCTCCGTAGATCTTGTCCCACCCACTAGTGGGTGGGACAAGATCTACGGAGATCGATCAAAGCCAACGGGCAATTGTAATTTTTTCCCCCGTGTTCGGACGACTCTTCTGCATGCAGGGGCCATCCCGCCGGAGCTGGGAAAGCTCGCAGCGCTGCGACGGCTCAACCTTCGGGGTAATCAGCTATCGGGTGAGTTGTTTGTTCAAGTGTAGTATGAATCCCGTGTATGCGCGGGATTCATGCATGTTGAGAACTCGAAAAGAAAAAACGCCCTTCGATCTGCTCAACTCACCATCTAACCTGTTGAAGGAGAGGCGCAGGGACTCGAGGGCCCCAAGATCTCCTAGCTGAGGCGGCATGTGGCCTGTAGATGAACGAGTCAAAGAAGAGTAATTTAGCGGGGTAAAGCAAAAAATGTCCCCCGAGTTCTAGAACACTGGTCCCGCCTACAGTAGGCGGGACCGACGACTAGAAAGCGTGGGGTTTATTTTTTGTCCTGCTCAGTTACTCGTTCCGTCCGTCCGCTTGTAGACCCCATACCATCCGAGCTGGGGCACCTTTCGGCACTGTAGGAGCTCGACCCTACGTACAACGAGCCAAGCGGTGAGCCAACACGTGATTTGATAGCCCTTTCCCGACCGATTTTGCGTGAGTCTCGTGTATGAATCTCGCCGATGGGTGGGTGGGACAAGATCTACAGAGATCGGATATCCCAAAAAAAGAGTCGGGTGATTTATTTCTATATCCCCCGCTAATGTGTTAATCTTCTGCAGGTGCGATTCCGGCGCAGCTCGGTGCTCTAAATAAGCTCACGCTGCTCGACCTGCCCTACCACTAGCTCAGCGTTGAGAGACTGATGAAATTTGATACTTTTCTTTCTCGAACATAATTATGTGTCCATTCACGCATACACGGGATTCATACTAACTGCACTTGAACAAACAACTCACCGGATAGCTGATTACCCCGAAGGTTGAGCCGTCGCAGCGCTGCGAGCTTTCCCAGCTGCGGCGGGATGGCCCCTGCATGCAGAAGAGTTGTCCGAACACGGGGAAAAAAATTACAATTGCCCGTTGGCTTTGATCGATTTCCGTAGATCTTGTCCCGCCCACTAGTGGGTTGGTGGGACAAGATCTACGGACATTTGCAATAGTCTTGATTTTTTTTCAAAGTTCTCTTCCATCCCAAATTCATGCAGGTGAAACACCGGCGTTGCTAGGACAGCTCAGGAACCTGCAGGTGCTCAGTCTACGCAGAAACAAGCTCACATGTGAGTTCTATGGCGGATTTGAGTGCGTCGTGGTGAAGGGTTTTCTTCCCGGCCTGATTCCACCGATGAATCTCGCCTACTGCATACGCGGGATTTATGCATGTTCAGAACTCGAAAGAAAAAAAATGATTTTCGATCTGTTGAACTCACCCCGAGTTCTAGAAGATCGGTCCCGCCTACGCGTAGGCAGGGCCGATCTTGTAGAACTCGGGAGATTATTTTTTGCTTTCCCCCGCTAAATTACCTTGCTTCGACTCGTTCACCTACAGGACACATCCCGCCGCAGTTTGGGGATCTTGGCGCCCTGGAGTACCTCAACATCTTCAACAACGACTTAGATGGTGAGTTCAACAGATCGAAAATCATGTTTTTTTCTTTCGAGTTCTGACCATGCATGAATCCCGCGTACGCAACAGCGGGACACATAAAGTTGGAGAAAAAAAGTATTCAAATTTCATCAGTCTCTCACCGCTGAGCTGGTTGACGGACAGGTTGAGCCACGTGAGCTTTTTGAGAGCGCCGAGATGCGCCGGGATCGCACCTGCAGAAGGAGTAGACATACAAATAAATCACCAGGCTCTCTTTTCTCAATATATTCAATCTCCGGAGATCTTGTCCCACCCACTGCAGTTGGTGGGATCTATTCTAGAAATTATAACACATGCCAGCGCCCTGACTCACCGCTTAGCAAGTTGGCACCAAGGTCGAGGTGTCGCAGTGCTGCGAGGTTCCCGAGCTCCGACGGGATGGGGCCTGTAAGCAGAAGTGCAATACACATCAAGCGGGGAATAAAAAATAAATAACCCGCCTCTCTATTTTGAAGACAACTCATCTCCGTAGATCTTGTCCCGCCTACTAGTTGGCGTCCGCTCACGTAGTTCGTAGGGCACAACCTACATCAATTTTGAGTTTTTGTTTTTTCGCTGCCGTGCACTTGCAGGTCACATCCCCATGGAGCTAGGAGCTTTCAGCGAGCTGCAGTTGCTCAAGCTTGAGGAGAACCAGCTTACCGGTAAGTTCTTTGCGGTGAAAGGAAGACTTAAGTTTTCTTGGAACACGCATCCTGCGCACGCGTGCGCGGGGTTCATCTTGGAATACGGCAACTTGGCAGAAGAATATTAGAACTGTGCGCTACGTGCCTTAGTGACTCACCGCTCAGCTCGTTCACGTTGAGGGATAGGGTTTGGAGCGCGGTTAGGTTTCTCAGCTCCGCCGGGATGGTGCCTGCCAGACGAAGGGGTAACAAGAAGTTAGCGGGAGAAAATACAAAAAATATCCCCCAGCGTCTAGTCTAGAAAAACGGTCCCGCCAATGCAGTTGGCGTCCACTCAATGGTCTAGAAGCCGGGGCATTGTTTTTGTTTTGACCCGTAACCATCACTCCGTTTTCTTTCTTCCACTTACAAGCCCCATCCCGCCGGCGCTGGGAAAGCTCGCAGCGCTTCAAGATCTGTACCTCTACGGGAACCAGCTAAGCGATGAGACACTGTTGAAATGAGTTAAGAAAAATACCCATGAATTTTCAGGATGAATCTCGTGTATTGCGTAGGTGGGACAAGATCTACGGAGATGAGTTGTCTTCAATATAGAGAGGCGGGTTGTTTGATTTCATTTCCCCGCTTGATGTGTATCGCACTCCTGCTTACAGGCCCCATCTCGCCGGAGCTCGGGAACCTCGCAGCACTGCGACGCCTCGACCTTCACTCCAACATAAGTGGTATGTGGTATAATTTCTAAAATAAATCCCACCAACTAGTGGGCGGGACAAGAACTACGGAGATCGATATAAGCCAGCGGGCAATTGTAATTTATCCCCCCGTGTTCGGACAACTCTTCTGCGTGCAGGGGCCATCCCGCCGGAGCTGGGAAAGCTCACAGCGCTGCGATGGCTCAATCTTCGGAGTAATCAGCTATCCAGTGAGTTGTTTGTTCAACTGTAGTATGAATCCCGTGTATACATACGTGGGAATCATATACCCATGTCGAAAATAAAATTACCACCACACTCAGGATATTTGTTGTGCTCACCAGAAAGCTTGTTGTTGGCAAGCCAAAGCGTATCCAGCATGTGTAGGTTCCCTAGCTCCGTCGGGATTCGTCCTGCGAAAATATGACATCGGAGAATTGGAAGAGAGATGGATACTCACGTGGCACGCTAATTTTTCAAAATCGATCTCCGTAGATCCTGTCCCGCCCACTGCGTTGGTGGGTAGGTTTTTCTAGAACCAGGGTATTTAATTTTCACTCTCCCCTCAAAATTCGAATGTGCCCATCTGCTTGCAGGCCTCATTTCGCCGGAGCTGGGGAATCTTGCGCCACTGAAGGACCTCTCCCTTTCGAGTAACCAGCTCAGCGGTTAGGCACAGAAATATCTGGTACGACCCTTCTCAAGTTTTGAAGCCTTGAAGTTTATCATGAATCCCTTTCGACTTCAATAGATACCCATATGGACGCGTGGGCGGGCGTCATGCCCCTTTCGACGGAAAAGCGTGATTGCTTTTGGAAATGACATTGTCGAACTTTGGACTACAGGCCCCATCCCCGCTGGAGCTGGAAAATCTTGCAGCACTGCAGATCCTCAACCTTGCAGGCGACCAGCTACGTGTCGCGGAGGCTAGTACATGCACTAAAAGCCGGTTGGGTCATTTTTGTTTATTCCCCGCCGACCCTGCCGACGTCTAGAATACATCCTTCCCGTATTTTTGACACCACACGGCATTTGCCACATTTTTCCAGGCATGGCTGCGACAAACAAAAACGGATGGATATCAGCACGGAAACCAACCACCAAGCCTATGGGGCCCGTGCGGAACGGGTTTATCGTGGAGAATGCTCCAGAGTACAATGTGCGTCGCATCAGAGCCCTGCAAAAGAAGAGATACCGAAGGTCCCCAGCGTACCAGAGGCACTTGAAAGCCAGGGAAAGTGATGTGCTGTACAGGTGGCGCGTGTTCAAGGAGCAAGCTACAATTGTAGGAGGCGAACACTGCAGTGTCGATTAGCTTGGACGAAAAGTCTACAGGAGTAGCTTTGTTCACCGTCTGCTGGCACTGCGGGGAATTGACATACATACGAGGGGTACTCAGGCGTAAACCTTGTGCAGAACACGGGAACGTACGAAAGAGACAGCGTTGTGGCATGTTGTAAGACTTGCAACTTCATGAATCGGCCACTGTCGGTCAAAGAGTTATTGGGGAAGGTCCAAGAGATCGCAAGAAAGAAATCGAAGAATATACCTTGGAGGTTGTTGTCCCACAGAAATAGATTCACCACGCGGCCCTGGGAGTTGACTTCGACTCCGTGCCATTGCGAGAGGGCGGCACTAGTGTTCCAGTTTCGATTATTCCTCCACTTCGCCCCACCGATCGCGGTGTATAGGGCAACCAGCGCCTCACGGTCCGTCTGCGCCATCGTGTAAGGGGGTCTGGGTATGCGGAAGTTTGCGACGTTCGCAAAGACAAATACTTGTTCAAAGTGTATCATCGATTTCTGTTGGTCGTCTCTCGCGACTGCAGTTGTGAATTACACCAGCATCACACCAGCATCACAAGAGGATGATCGCATCAAAGAACCACAACAACGTCTTCGAGCGCGAACAATCTCGGTGATGTGCGAACGATGAACGATGCAACCCCATTGCGGCGGGATCAACAACCCAGTCTACAACATACAGAGGATAGAGGAACAGAATAGACCCACCTTTTCTTTGCAGTTTGCACGTTTGCACAAGCGCTGTAGCGGGGAACAGCTGGAGCCTGTCGTTCCCTTTTATCACGGCACCGCTCTCGTCTTATGGATGCTCTCTTTACGGCGGGCTAGAGCGCGGTGAATGTGCTCCTTGCTGAACTCTAACCAGATGGGACTGCTGACTGAAGCAACTGAATCAGTGCTGTGTTACATGCATCTGTACATCTGACGTCCCGCCGCTTTTATACAGCGGGTGACGCCTCCTTGAAAACAGGGGGGACAAGTACATCGGTCACGGCCGACAGCCCCAGTACTTGCCAGCACCAAGACCAGTAACCTGGTGAACACGATTACGGACAGCCGGAAAGCTCAGCTAGGCCGGACGTTTTCCCAACTGAGGATGTCAGCTCACGGTGGAGCAGGTGTGTGAGTACCCACTGGCAGTGGTTTGGGGGCGAAAGTGTCCAAGACTTCACTACTATATATCTCGCTGTCAAGCGTGGCCTTCAATAACACGTCATGGTTGAACTTTCACCGCCGTTGCGCCGTTGCTCGGCGCGCTAAACGAAAACACTCCGCCTCTGAGATCACCTTGGTCGCCTCTGCCCCTCTCTGCGAGGGGGGAGCCTTCGCGATGGAAGTCCGCGCTTGGCTACCGGCGCCAACATGAAGACGCTTTGTCATGTGTGTACCTCCATGTGACATAAGATACCACACGCCCTGCATCGATGTTCAAAGCTCGCGTGCTCCACGACGAAAAGGCTGGAGAATAAAACAAACGATACGGCTTCGGAAAGCTCTCGACGAACCGTTTCCAACGCCGCCATTTTCGACGCTATCACGCCTTTTTTGTTGCTGTGGAGTTCTTCCCAGAGGGCTTTGAAGTTTGGTCCAGAGGGGGGGTGATATTTTGTGCAATCAACGGTACACATCTAGCCTATCTGACGATGTGGTGGTACGCGACCACAAGAATTGTTACGTGCCCTCGGCCTGCGGATGGAACTGTTTTTCTCGCCTAAGGCCGAAGTGGATCTGGTGTGGAAGGGTTGGCCCGAGCTGTCGTGAGTTGTTTTCAACGGCGAACCCCCGTACGCGGCGCGTCTCGCACGAAATGCTGAGCTGTGAGACACCAGGTACACTGGGGCTGTCGGCCGTGACCGATCTACAGCAGTACATGTGTACATGTCTCCGCGTTGCACCCTTGGGTGCACGGAGATTTGCATGCTCACCGCCAACTGACAGCAATATTTGGGTAGGTCCTGCCCTTGCTTGCTCATGTCTTGTACGGCAGTTGACGAAGGAAGAACAATGTAACATAAACAGTATTAGTTGTATCGCGTTGTGCATCCAGCAGACGAAAATATGAAAATATGCGGGTGTGCAGCTACTCCTGTAGTCTATCCTGTCGTCGACTGTGACACCCATCGGTCCCCTTCCCAGTTGGTTTTTCGGCAGAGAATCACATGCTCCATCGTTTGCACCGACCTGCGCAATGTCCTAACCTAGGCATAAAAATTGTTGTTTATGTTGGTGTTGTGCAGAATCCCCGTACGTACATAGTAGTATTGACACGGTGTGATACGAGTTGTTTGTTGCTAAAAGATGGCAGTGAATCCCCTCCCCCACCCTTACGGAGGGGCTCGCATCGATTGACCCTGATCGGAAGACACGCCACCTACACGTTGGTGAAGCTACACAACCAAGTGGGTTTTTCTATCTGAATCAATGTTACTCGGCGGAGTGAACAGACTATCAATGTGCATATCCGCCTTACAGCACCCTCCCATGGTCACAATACGCGATGAAATACGCATGCATTTTCGACACTGTTTCATCGACGACATCCCATCCGTGTCTGAAACATCGCATGGTTCATGGACCGAGCAGCACTGGCGGTCGACCTCAACGACAGGAGGGAGAGAAGACCACATCCAGGCGGATGTTGACTCTCTTGACGAAGCTGGCGGGGAAGAGCCCTCCCGGGGAGACATGGGAGATGAGGGAAAAAACACCCGGAGGTGGCGGCCGAGAGACGACCCCGGATGGCGAGGAGGAAACTCGCACAGCAGACGGGGGGCGGGGGTCAAGCATCCAAGAGGGAGTTATATCCTGTTGAGGAAGCTGGCAAGAGAGATGGGAGCACCCGCGGGGGCAGCAGGGGGGACGACGAGGAAACACGCGACGAAGCTGACAGAGAGACGGAACTGCCTGACGAGGAGGCTATGCGGGAGCCAGGGTCGGGTTACGGTGAGGGGAAGGCGGTTGGGTTGGGTTGGTTTGTGTTTTTCGTGTGGCCGGAGTAGTTGCACACCCTGTTCAACTATATCTAATAACTAACTAAGATGGTTGTTGGCCAGACAACTATACCGGCTAGTTGTTCGTAAATGACTAGTTACGCACGAGTCTGGAAGGTCAGTCGTCTGCAGGCGAATAGTTACGCACGATCCCGGACCAGTAGTCGTCTGTAGGCAACTAGTTGCGTACGCTCGTGGAAGAGGCTGAAAGGTTAGTTGTCTGCAGGCGACTAGTTGCGTACGATCTTGGCAGGTTCGTCGTCTGCAGGCGACTAGTTGACGGGCAGGTGTCAATATAGAACATTGCAATTCGTTGGTCGCCCGGGTAGTTGTCAACAACAACAGAACAATGTCGGCTATGGAAGACACACACACACGGGCAGGTGTCCGCAGAGAGCAATGAATCTCCCGGATAGTTGTCAACAACAGATTCATTCCGGCTAGGGGCCGTTGTTGGCTGAGACGAGCTGACGCATGTATGTGCGCATACCACGCACTCGCACTCGCACACACACGGGCACAAACACAGTATTAATTTCGGCTACAAGTATAGGACCGTTGTTGGCTGGGACGAGATGACGCATGTATATGTGCGCACACCACGCACTCGCACACATCAAAACACACACACATAATAAAAAAAAGAAAACACCACAACCTGCGCAACTATGTACAATATACCTCATAACTAAGTCAGTTGTTTGCCAGACAACTACCGGCTAGTTGTTCGTAAATGACTAGTTACGTACGAGTCTGGAAGGTTAGTCGTTTGCAGGCGACTAGTTTCGCACGATCCCGAACGAGTAGTCGTTTGCAGGCCACTAGTTACGCACGTTCCTGGAAGAGTAGTCGTCTGCAGGCGACTAGTTACACAAGAGTCTGGGAGATTAGTCGTCTGCAGACGACCAGTTGCGTACGATTCTCGAAGAATAGTTGTCTGGCAAACAACTACCAACTACTGTAGTTGTACAGGGTGTGAACAGGTGTATCTCACAACCCCCAGGAACAAAACACGAAAAATACATGTGCCGTGACAACACCGTCCACTGGACACCCGGCTGTTGGAGGAAGGAGGCGTTGAATACTAGATAGGGGGGTAATGGGCCGCGCGTGACGACTCAATACCTTGCAGTGCTCTATCTGCGATTCTGTGCAAGGTGTGAGACACGCTGCTTGTGGAAGCAGCCCAACAACCCAGAACGTGCAATTCAATATTACTTGCGAAATTAATTTTGAGCGGATCTTTTACGACTTTGTACCCGCTCCCGCTGGAAGTTCGTTGAAATATTGCACACCAATGGCGGAGGATCGCGAACAACAAATGATCGCCTCTCTGCTACAACAACAGCAGTACCGCCAAACGATCGGCATCTAACAGTACTGACACAGACACAAATGCACCGCGGTATCTTATACGAATGCACTTGTAGTGCTACTGTTGCTGCTGCTGCTGCTGCTGCAATGGCACGACTCCCATCTACATTTCTTGCTTATTCGGCAGTGCATGCATGCGAGAATAACACCCTGGCGCCTGGCACCAACAGCAGTACCGATTAACTCTCCCCACACACCGAAGCAACAGAAATTACGATAACATCCGCCACGAGCTGTGTGTATTATTATATGGCTCCCTTCCCTCGCCAGTGCTGCGTTGCCCCTCCTAGCTGTGTTGCGTGTTATGTAGCTGAGTGCTTCCTCTGTTTCTCCTGGTCTGAACCGAGCAACTGTTGCGTGTGTGTGTTCCTTTGCCTCTCGTCCAACTCCCGGGGACGAGGGCAAAAATATCCGAAGATTTTGGGGACAAATTCCTGTCAAGCACGGCCATCTGCTGTCGGAGCGCGGCGAAACCGGTGTGACGAGTGCCCCAATTAGCTTCCTCCTCACAACCCAGCAGATCGTAAATCGGTGCTCAATAGACCTCGTTCTCGGCTAGGAACGGTGATGATTTATTCACGTGCCGTTCCCCGGGGGCGTTTGCGGAACGGTCCCTCTACTGCGCGATGGTTGAAAGAGGCCGATAGTTAGAGCTTTGGGGAAAAAATGTCGCGCTTGCGTTCCGCGGCTCATTACAAACCCACTACTGCGCCGGTAAATGTGTTTCGTAGATGCACTGGTAGGCAAACGCAATAAACGCAAAAGCGATGCAACCTCCAATCCCAAGTACGTGTCAAAGACCTTAGCCAGGCAAGGAAAAACAAATAGGAGGTCTGGTGTGCTCTTTTTTCCCCCCTCTTGTCTCCCACACAAACCACGCCTCCGTAGAGCTACACTTCCTCCCGCGGTAGGTAGCACGCGGGAACATCACAATCCTGTCAGGAGGGTTATATACTTTAGCAACCGCCCTCTCCTTTTGACAGGTTGAAGAACAGTCACCTCAACTTCAACGCCACTCCCATGCGCCCGGCCCGCAACGCCTGCTTCAAAATGTAAGATGCGTTCTTGTAAGATGGGCTAGTCACCACCCAGTCCGGAAAGACGGCGCTTGTCCTCCGCGTATGCATACCCCTCGGCAACAGCGTCCATGGTGGCGTCCAGGTGGGTATCGGCGCCCAATCTGTAGGAGACAGGCCAAACAATTTGAGACGCCATCCATATTTGACGCAACTATCTGAAGCTGGATTCCATGCGGGGGTAACTACCAAACCGGTGGGGTATTTCTGTTTTCTTCTTTGTTTTTCCCTCTACGTTTCCTCAGAATCAGTGCTAAAAGCTACTGCAGGTACCTGCCGGAAGCGCTATGTTGTGTAACACATGGTTCACGCTACAAAGAACATTAACGGGGGTGTGCCGTTTTTGTCTCCACGCGAAGGGCGCGGAAACTAGGAAGACAACATGTACTCCCGCGCGTGGTGGTTTCGAAAGAGGCCGTGAGACACACATGTGCCTACGTGGGATTTACGCTCGCCCAGCTCCCGCCAATATTTTTCGTGTCCAACGTGCCTCTACTTGCTTGAGCACCCGTAGCGACTGCCGGGACGTCCACAGACGAAGCAAAGCGGAAGTCCTTCTCCTGACGCTTCTATATTTACCATGCACAACTTTGCCACCGGAGCCGAGAAAACCGCGGGTCATTTCGCGTACTGTACCCCGAAAACGACGTTCTATTTCGCCTTTTTTTCTGCTGACCGAATCGTGGATTTCGTAGCCGATACGAGGTAATCCCTAATGAAACGCGTTGCTAGAGAAAGAGGATGCCCTCAGCTACGCAGCAAGCACCCTAACAGTCGAAGCCAGTACAGGCCTCACTGATTTGGGCTGCTTCGGTGGGCTGAAACTGTTCGTGTACCAGCTCTCCTATGGGGCAACTCTGGTTATTCGCCCACAGAGCAATGAGTCGTAGAACTTGCACCATCCGCTGCAGTGTGAGTAGAACGACAGCTCACTACGGTTAAATGCTATCTGACGTGGACCGCTGGCTTGTTGGGGCTGATGTTGGGTGCTGCTCTGGCGGACGATGCCCAGGGCGATAGGGGGGGGGGGGGCTCAGGGCGAATCTACGGAATACTTCCTACGATGACCCGGCGTAGTTTCCGAGCTACGTGAATCATCCAGAGATCGCGCCTGTCGCATTCTATGTGTGTCGTCTCTTCTACTCTGCCCTACAGCAGCTGAGCTTCTCCCGGGCCATCCCTTCCGCAACACACTTGGTTCGCCGGGCGACCCGTACTGACGAAAAAAAGTGCCAACAAATATGCGGAGGAACTTAGATTCCATACAGAACGCGCCCGCACTTGAGACCCTCTAGTTTCGACCGAGGGTGGGGTTCTTATTTCCTGGGGTCATGCTATGGATGGTCGCTTATAGATTTTTGTGTACGGATTCTTAACCGAGCTCACACATGGTGCTCAATTTCTTGAGGCCGCGGGTTCGTCCTGTAACACTCGAGTTCTTGCTTTCTCGCGTTTGGTCTGAAGGGGGGGGGGGGTGTACTCATAGTCGTGCATGCCGTAGTCGTTGACCATTGACCTCGCATCCCTACAAAGCCGGGACGGAGCATGCCGGGTTCTCACCGGACCAGGCTCTCACATCACCAAGCGCGAAGCGCCGTGAGGTATTTGGCGAGTCGCATGAAGGGTGAGCTGCATCCTGCTAAGGGTGTTCGGCATCTTGTGCTTACTTCCTTGCGTGCGGATGACAGCTACGTATGACTTAATTTATTTTCTGGTGCTTTCACTTCCAGAGACAGTTGTAAGCACGGTGTAACTGCCTCGAGGATGCTTGACCATTTTAACACAACGTGGTGCGATCATCCCCCGTTGCGCGGAGTGAGGGTTCTCGACCCCGCACAACATGATCTACTCGACCACCATTATGGTTACCGCCAAAAAAAAACCGAGGTAAAACAAAAACGGTAACCTGGTTGCCGAGTTCACGAAGTGAATTGGCTTGTTTTACAACGTCGTTGCCAAGCGACGAAAACCCAACCCCGATGGCAAACACCGAGTGGGGGGCTTGTTTTACAACGTCGTTGCCAAGCGACGAAAACCCAAACCCCGATGGCAAACACCGGGGGGGGCGGAAGGGGGGGCGTGGATAAATAATTCACGAAAAGGTATGCTGAGCCACCCCGCGGTATGCGACCCCGTTCATCGTTTTGCGATTTTGCGGACACATATTCGAATATTGCCAGTCCTGGAATCTTCTTCAAAGTGTTCGATTCTTACCTCTGTTTCAGGTTTAAGGTCATACCCCCAGCAGTTTGTCGCTGCATCCTTGAGTTGAGGTCAACGGTCATGGCGGAAAGGCTGCTTCGTGTCAGGTTGATTGGGCGACTGACTGTATGCAGTATAGTACACGATCCGAACCCTCAGCTGGACCATCCACAAGAGTTATTTAAAACTCGATTCATGGAGTGGGAGGGAGGAATTTTTTGGGCCTTTCGCGCTTCACGCCTAATTTAAAACTCAAAAGTAGATCTTCACAGGATGAAAACACGGGACAGCTGATGGCCTTTGCCAATTCATGATAGGATCGTTGGTGTTGGGCAGGTGGGGTACCGTTGTGGTCCAGCCAAATTTATGCCGAAAACAAGCAGCAAGCGAAAATCAGAGTGCCATTTTTTTTTTGTGGTGAAATGCACACGCTTACGTAGTGGACAAACAGCGGACAAGGCGTGCTCGTCTCTGCCAAGAGCACCCCCAACATACGACATACAGTAGATTCGATAGGAGTTGCTGTCCTTGCTGTACCCCAGCATATTGCCCTCCCAAGGTTTCTGGTCTAGCTTGTTGCCGTGTCTCTCCTTGTGGACGAAGGCCCTACCTCCAATAGCCCTCAAGCCTGAAAGATCTGGTTCTTTCCGAAAGAGCTTGGGGTATGGAGAAATTCCGCCCAAGTGCACGATGAGGAGAGCGATTATTCAGGAAGCGGACGCTTCGCATATTTCTCCCCAGAGAAACTTCGGAAGCCAGGTGTTGATGAGGATGCCCCTTGCCGTGTTCATGATGGTCTTTCCGTCACGTTCTGACACACCATTCTGCTGAGGAGTGTTTTATTCCGCCCTGGCAGTTGATGAATGTGGACTATCGCAAGCTCGGAGTGGAAGTGTCGGGTCGCTCGAACCCCACGACTAACTTCAACGTTCATAGAAGCCGAAATCGAAGCCATTAGACTAGTCAGCTGCTGACTAGGCTGACTAATCTGCTGGCTAGAGTAATGGAATCAGCGGCTGACAAGTCTAATGGAGTCAGCGCTGACCAGCCTACTGATTTGATTTCGGCTTCTATATGGCGCAACAATGCATCGGTTTGGCGGGAGAGAATTTCCCTACGTAACAGTTTCGGGGTCATTGTCCCACCGCTCGGTGGGTTTCCAAACTAACGGCGTTAATAGATCCCGGCTCTCGTGCCACGGATGCGTGGCTAGCAATGTACCGACGAGGCTACCGCGTTCTCCTGAGAAGGAAGCACGAGAAAAAATTCGCTGCCGCCAGAGAAAGACATGCCCAAGCACCACCAATGTCCGAACCTTGTACTTGTGTTGCTCGTTTCTACGTTCCTTCCTTCACTGATCCACTCTTTAATTATTTGCGGCCATTGCTGCCGCCGTTGTCTCTTGTTGCCCTCCGCCGCCACATTGCTGCCCCCTTTCTCTCTCTCTCTCTCTCTCTCTCTCTCTACCTTTTCCCCCCCACAACTCCGAAGGCCATCACGGACCTGAGGACCTGCCTAGTGACCGGCTACTAACTCCACTTACGAACTTCACTCTCCACACGGTCCTCAAGACCGTGGCCGACTCCCACAAGCCACCCTGCCCCCCCTCGGTAGACGTCCGCAAGGCCGAACCCACCGAACCCGCTTCTTCTAGTGCCACCAACCCCGCCGAATCTTCTTCTCCTAGTGCCACCACCGACGCGGCAAACGCAGCGGTGATGCATGTAGACGGCGAGAAGAGTTCAGCGGCGGCGTTAGTGGTTCCCGCCGTCCCGTCGTCTCTGGTGAAGCCTTCCTTGGACGCGTGTATTCCGGAGGTGGTGGAGCTGCTGATCGAAGACCTCTTCAGGGAGTCGGCCGCCGCTAAGGAGGTTGGTGGGTACGGTTCATGTACATCCACAATTTCCGTCTGTTCACGTTTTGCGCGATAGCTTTTAAAATGAAAACTACGCATAGGAGCTCGTGGTTTGCTAATAGAAGAAGGGGCGCAGGAGCGGTATCTGCTGCCCTGGTGCGCCATCGTCGTTTTAGGTCGATGTCGTTTTTGCCGCTCTCTCCACTTTTTCGTAGCAGCAGTGATGAAATCATCGAAGGTGACAAGGGAGCGGTGTTCTTGTTATACTAAAATGCAGTCAAAAAATGATTACATGCCCGTTCGAGATTAAGTCGAAGAGATGGGATGAAGTATTTGCAGTAGTTGTTGAGAAAACCTGTTTCTCTTTTGAGAGAACATATGTGTTCCAAGCCTTTACGCTGGGAAAGCACTGACGCCAGCTGGAACAGATACACGTATGAATAAAGGTCAGCATGTGAACTTATAGAACGTCCTTGTACAGCGCACGTGAGTCTGCGGAGTAACCTCGAAGTGCTGCTTTGGGCCCCATCTCTTGGGGAACTTTTGACCGAAAACAACCTGTACGACTTGTTTAGATTCTTCTCGTGAACGTTTTATCTGGTCGCAACTCGAAGGGCCTTTTCTCTCTTCAGGGAGCTGATAGATTCAATGCCCCCCCCCCCCCCGCCCCCCCCCCCCCCCGGTCTTTGCCATCGGGGTTTGGGTTTTCGTCGCTTGGCAACGACGTTGTAAAACAAGCCCCCCACTCGGTGTTTGCCATCGGGATTGGGTGTTCGTCGCTTGGCAACGACGTTGTAAAACTAGCCAATTCACTTCGTGAACTCGGCAACCAGGTTACCGGTTTTTTTTTACCTCGGTTTTTTTTTTGGCGGTAACCATAATGGTGGTCGAGTAGATCATGTTGTGCGGGGTCGAGAAACCTCACTCTGCGCAACGGGGGATGATCGCACCACGTTGTGTTAAAATGGTCAAGCTTCCTCGAGGCAGTTACACAGTGCTTACAACTGTCTCTGGAAGTGAAACCAGAAAATAAATTAAGTCATACGTAGCTGTCATCCGTACGCAAGGAAGTAAGCACAAGATGCCGAACACCCTTAGCAGGATGCAGCTCACCCTTCATGCGACTCGCCAAATACCTCACGGCGCTTCGCGCTTGGTGATGTGAGAGCCTGGTCCGGTGAGAACCCGGCGTGCTCCGTCCCGGCTTTGTAGGGATGCGAGGTCAATGGTCAAACGACTACGGCATGCACGACTATGAGCACACCCCCCCCCCTCGGCCTTGTTTGCCATCGGGGTTTGGGTTTTCGTCGCTTGGCAACGACGTTGTAAAACAAGCCGCCCCCCCCGGTGTTTGCCATCGGGGTTTGGTTTTCGTCGCTTGGCAACGACGTTGTAAAACTAGCCAATTCACTTCGTGAACTCGGCAACCAGGTTACCGTTTTTGTTTTACCTCGGTTTTTTTTTTTGGCGGTAACCATGATGGTGGTCGAGTAGATCATGTTGTGCGGGGTGGAGAACCCTCACTCCGCGCAACGGGGGATGATCGCACCACGTTGTGTTAAAATGGTCAAGCATCCTCGAGGCAGTTACACAGTGCTTACAACTGTCTCTGGAGGTGAAAGCACCAGAAAATAAATTAAGGCATACGTAGCTGTCATCCGTACGCAAGGAAGTAAGCACAAGATGCCGAACACCCTTAGCAGGATGCAGCTCACCCTTCATGCGACTCGCCAAATACCTCACGGCGCTTCGCGCTTGGTGATGTGAGAGCCTGGTCCGGTGAGAACCCGGCGTGCTCCGTCCCGGCTTTGTAGGGATGCGAGGTCAATGGTCTAACGACTACGGCATGCACGACTATGAGTACACCCCCCTACATCCACAATTATCACCTTGGAACTCCCCCCTCTAGGCCCAAGGAGCAAACGTTGCCTCGTCCAAGATGAAGGAGGCTAAGGGGCAGAAGGCCTCCGACTCGTTCGAGATCGCGGCGAGGACCTTGCTCTTCCGGCCGACATTCACCGTGCTAGCGCCGGAGGACGCGGCTTCGGTGTCGTCGGTGCACGCCCCGGTGGGCCCCGTGCTTTCCCTCCTGGAGGGGTGCGAGAACGCCAGGTGCGTGTGTTTGATGTTATCATCGACAGGGCCAACCGACTGACCAATGAAAACACGTCAGTCTCAGTGTGGTTGAAAACACAAATTGGAAAAATATTAAATTCCGGGTCAAACGTGTATGCATGTGAGTGTTTTGTTGTTAGCATGACCGCTACATAACCGCCGGCTGACCAACGAGAAGACGTCAGTGCCAGCGGGAAGAATAAGGGTCCCTGGTTGTGCAGTCTTTGTTCCAACGAAACCGCTTCGTTGTCTGCGGCGTGCATCCACCTATCACCCATTTCTTCGACCGATCGCTCGCGGCCTTCTTATGCTTGTGGTTTCAAGCGTCTTCGTTTCAGGTCGGTGGGTAAGGCTAACGAGGCCCTCACGAGGATAGAGGTGGGCCTGGCGGCTAACCCCAGCGTGACGGAGTCGGAGATGCTCCTCTACGTTCACGCGACCGTGGCGCCGTTCCTTCTCCCCCAGGTGACGTCATCACCCTAGACGCACTACTCTATTAGTGACGTCATCAGCCATGACATCCCGAGCATATGCTTCTCTCCATCACCACCGTTGCCCTTGGTACACCTGTATACGCTCGTACCCGCTCGAAGGACGCTCATTGTTTGTTTTCTAGTAACAGCAATGCCTTTGCAGCGGAAAGTGCCCTCAAATATATCAGAATCCTTGTAGCGGGACGTGTTCGTAAGTTTTGATACCCTCCGGCTGCTGTTGTTTGTTCATTTCTAGCTTTGTCGAGCTTGTTTCGATTTCATCCTTGGTGTGCGCTGCCTCCCCCACCTTGTTATCGCGTCGTCTGTCAATAAAATATATTTTACCGGGGGGCTTTGGAGACAGACATCAGAGGAGGACGACGACGAGGTGGAAGGGGGAGACAGCGACGATATAAGCGACAGCGACAGTGGTGTGGGGGGCTCGACAGCCGCGAGAAAGAAGGTCGGAGGGGGCTCCGCTGGCGGCGGGGCGGCGTCCTCCGCCCGGCAGGTGGGTGGGTAGACTTTATTTTCTGCCGGACCCCCGCTCCTTCACCCGAAATTGTGTGATTGACCCGCTCGGCGACTGTTTTGTTTGATCCTTCGCCTCGATTTTTGCTTGGTATAACAGGAGTCAGTTTGATGAAACGTCCTAAACGTCCTAACTGTTGGTATCACAGCAGCCAGTCACCGCAGTCAGTGTTGATGAATCGTCCTAACCGTTCGTATCACAGCGGTCAGTGTTAGTGTTGATGAATCCTCCTATTCTTGGTATATAATCATAGCAGTCAGTGTTGATGAGCCCTCCTCAACCTTGCTTTGAAATCGGAGCGCCCACAACTGGTGAATATGTCCTCACCTATGCATATTCTTCCTCTGTCCCATTAGTCTAGTCCGGTATGGGTGGCAAGTCTTTCGTGTACTCAGAGGTTGATCCAAACCTTGGGTTCGTTGGAAAGCTGGCGCGTAGACGATGCTGATGAAAAAAAAAAGAAAAAAAAAGTTTGTGCTTGGCTACAAACATTACAGGTCTGAAACACCCCATTTTGGGAAAAGTTGTTATGCTTGCAGATTGGGCCTGAGTAGTGTGGAACGTATAAGTGTATTGGTTTTAGTGTGGAACTCCCACGTGTCTTGGTTTTAGTGTGTTTACCCAAATGTCTTGGTTTTAGTGTCAGTTCACTACTTTACTGGTTGTAGTATGGGGGGACGTGACATGGATCGTTGAGGTGCGAGGGTAGGTTTCGGGTTCGGGATAATTCTTGTTTTTTTTTGCCTTGTTTTGGGGCAATGCACCCACCCTCCCCCCTCTGGAAGGGGTCAAATACGGCAACCCCTATTTGCACGACGCGAGTGCAAATAAGACCGTGCACGACTCGACTTGGGATTGGTCAAAACAGCGCGCGCAGCGTGCGGACCACGTTCTGACGTGCGGACCACGAACGTGGCGCAGCCGCGTTCGTGGCCAGTCTCGCCACCACGGCCCCGGTTGGACGTCCGTGAGGGTTAGGGTTAGGGTTAGGGTTAGGGTTGGGTTGGGTGGGTTGGGTTGGGTTGGGTTGGGTCGGTCACGTGTGTGTATAACCCAGTTTCAACCCATCCACGGAGGCGTTTCGAAGCGTACACGTCTTATTTGCACGCGCGTCGTGAGGGGTAGCCGGTCAAATACGGCCATTTTTTGGCCTGACTACTTTTTTGTCAGTCGCTAGCCCATGCAGGGTAGTGCGCAAGAAGAAAAAAAAAATGTACTTCAAGTATGTATTCTCAACAAACGGCCCGTAGTTCAACCCCCGCCCCCAAGGTCCACCCCGTCCCTCACTCGCCTGGTCATGGAAAAACATTCCTCCCCTCCCAATCTCACCTACTTCCTTCCCTTCCCGTCTCCCCTCCACCGAAAAAACAACAACAAAAAAGTGGATGGCCTCTGAGGGTAACCTGAAGGGGCACTCCCGCCTCGCTGCCGCCGGCGAGAAGCGTCGGCGAGAGTGGGAGTCGGTACAATTCTTGGACGGCGCTAGCGCTCCCAAGCACACCGGGCGTGACCGTCACGACGGCCGCGCCGCCGGCCGCCAGCGTCCGACCGTGGGGGGTTCCGCCGCATCATCACCTTCGTCGTCGCGGGTGAGGGGGGTCGACCTGGGCGACCCCGCGGCGCTCGGGGCGGTGACGCTGGCGATGGGGCTGCTGCACTCGAGGCTGAAGGCGGAGGCGACGGCAAGGGGAGCCGGCAGACGGGCGGCGGCGATGAATAGGAGAGGGGAGGCGGTGCGGGCCATGGCGGACCCGTTCGTCCCGCTGCTAACGAGGTCCGGTATGGGTTACTTTATACAGGGGGTACCGAGTAATAGATATTGAGAATGGAATACGTTGTAGATAGCGCTCAAGCAAGCCCTGGCGTATGTATGCGTACGTACTGTACTGTGGTTCGAACTTGCATTTCCCTTGTTTTGGGGGGCAAGAGGCTGTGAGCTCCCACGGAGGGCCGGAATCCCCGTCAACCCCCCCCCCCTCGTTTTTGTTGCGCCGCGGCTGACCTGACCCCCTCCCCTCCTCATCGCCCGCCCGCCTGCACATACCCACCCGCGTGCATACACAATAAATATAATCCATGTGCATCGCTATGAACTCCCACACCCATCTCGAGGACGCGTGGTCAACGGTCTAACCGCTAACGCATGCAAAACATGAGTATGCCCCTCCCGTCCTCCTCCCGTCCCCCTCCCGTCCCCCACCGGCGCGTGCACGGAAAAAAATCTAGGTGCATCGGTAAGCACCCGCACACCCCGGTGGTCCTCCTCTCCCTAAAGAGCCTGGGCTACCTGCTCCACTGGGACCTGCCGTCGATGAAGCGTTGCGCTCCCCTCGTGGGGAGGCACGTGCTCGCCCGACTCGTGAGGGGAGGGGTCGGCGGTATCAGAGGAGAGATGGGCCAGGCGTGCTTCAAGGCTCTGTCGATGCTGTTCAAGAGCCAGGTGCAGTTGTTTGGGGTCCCTGGTGAGGAGGCCGGGCGGCGGAAGGGGAGGGGGGGGGGGTTGTTCGGCCTGTCACCGAAGCAGCTGAGGGCCCTCCTGGTGGTGTTGCAGATGGCGGTGGCGGAGACAGAGCACCAGAACGCCACCTTCGCGCTGATGAAGGCCGTGGTTGCCCGGAGAGTCATGCTGCCAGAGGTCCGTGGTAGTTTTATTCTCTTCTGAGGCACGTCGATAGGGCTGGAAGTAGTAGGTTGGGCGGTCATGGGCTCGAATACAGGACCGCGCGGACACGGCAGAGAAAAGCCCCCAATCTCCTCATTTGGCACCACATCCATCACGATAGAAGTTCGAGCTGTCTACCGTAGGTTGTGTAAGTTGCCACACCCCATGAACTGATTTTCAAAGCTCGAGTAGTTGCCCGAAGAGCCATGCTGCCCGATATCGGTGTTGGTGTTGCGTGAGGCGTCTCATCATGTAATGTGATGCGCAGCAGTTGAGCTAACGAAGGTGACGCAAGATACCACACACCCCGGACTGCCCGGTTTGCAGAGCTCGATTCCTCCACGACGAAGAGCGAGGATGCTGCCACAATCGAGTGATGTGTTGTCGGAAAGTTCTGGACAAGACGGTTCCAACGCATCCCGCCATTTATGGCGGCACCGTCACTGCTGTTGCTGCTGAAGAGCTTGCGTAAGCTGGCTTTGAAAATTGGTCCAGTGCGTTACCTTATGTAACCGACGGTATTTCTGTACGGCTAAAGTTTGACGTATTTTGCTGCGTCCTGCTGACTGTTGTACGGTCAAAGTAAACGTGTTTTGCTGCGTCCTGCGGACTGTCGAGCCTTTTTTTGGTCTGGCACAGGTTTTGTTTTGGTGCGTCCTGCTGACTGTTGTAACGGTCAAAGCAAACGTGTTTTGCTGCGCCCTACGGACTGTCGAGCCTTTTTTGTCTGGCATATGTTTCCTTATCTTTGCGGGCCCGCACTACCGCTGCTGTATGTGACCGACGGCAGGTGTACGACATCATGACCAAGCTTGCCGAACTAGCGGTCACGAGCCACCGACCGACGCTGCGCGCCACCTCCGGCCAGACCTTCCTGACCTTCCTCCTGCACTACCCCCTGGGGGAGAAACGGCTGCAGTTTCACCTCAACCAGGTCCGTCGGTGATTGGTTGACTTTGCGTGCGGGGGGGTCGGGTTGGAGGAGCCACGGGTGCTGTATGCCGTGCCCCTACTGTTGTCTGAACAAAATGTTGAGACCTTTTTGTGGGGTGCTTGAACGGAGCGATCAAGTCGAGAGACAACAACGAGAGGCAACAAACGTGTTGAAAACTTGGTTAGTTTTTGTTTCGAGGACGATGTCTCGGTATGTAGCGCACACGGGGGTGGCTTCATATTTAACGCCGAGGCTGAGGCTGCTGCGGCTGTTTGAGCGAAGTTTCTTCTTCGAGCTGCGTTGTGTACCTTGTTCTGAAGCGTTTGTTGCCCTCTGGTTGTCCTCAACACTACGTGTGACAGCTTTTGATATACCCCAAGAAGACGACTGTCACGGCCTTTTTGCCGCCCGTTTACCTTCTCCGTTGCTTGCTCAAAGTTCTCTCCATCTCTTTGCCCTGTCAACCCCCCGCGCGCTCAAGAACATTGTTCCTACTAGATAGGACAGGAAAACCACTTTTTGGAGCCTCGTTTGGCAAAGTAACAAGGAACGATTGGCCATCGGTGATCAGTCCTGTAGGAACAATGCTCCTCTCGAGGACGCGTGGCCAGTGGTCTAACTACTACAGCATCGCTCCGAAACATGAGTACACCCTCCCCCCCCTGCTTCAATTTGTCCGGACCAATCAGATCGTCAGCGGGGTCTCCTACGAGCACGCCGAGGGGCGCCTCGCGGCACTCAACCTGTGCTCCCAGCTCCTCCGACGGCTCCCGGAGCCCAACCTCGACCAGCTCTCCAGCGTCTTCTACCTCGCCCTGGTGGTTCGCCTGGTCAGCGACCAAGCGGGGGAGTGCCGCGCCGCCGCGTCCACCGCCGTCCGGACCCTTCTTGACCGCGTGTCCCCCGCTGTGTTCCAGGAGCTCTTGGAGTTCACGGGGCAGTGGTTCGGGGAGAAGGATGCGGGGGCCCCGTCGGGGGCGGGGGGGGGGGAAGAAGACCCCGGGCTCCGGCGAACGGCCGCTCAGGCCTGCGGGATTTTCGTACAGGCGAGGCCGGAGCTCGTGCGGAAGGCGGCGGGGACCGGCGGCGGGGGCCGGTTGCCTTGGATGCTGTCGGCGCTGTCCTTGATGCTCCCGCGACGAGCCGCCGAAGTCATTGCCGCGGCCAGGAGCGCGGGCTGGGGGGACGCCGGCGGTTCAGTTGGCGCCGCGGCGGGGTCTTGCTGCGGCGGCGGCGGCGGCGGCGGAGCGGATGGTGACTGGGAAGGCGTTTACCACGCCGTCCTGTCCATAGGGAAGGCGTTCGACGCCCTACCGGGGGCGTGCAACGCCGCCCTCAGCGGCGGTGGCGGCGGTGGCGGCGATGAAGGTGATGGGCTGTTCGATCGGCTACTGGAGGTGTTGCTGTACCCGCATGCCTGGGTGCGCCTCGTGGCCGCCCGCGTTTGGGGATCGTTCTTCTCGAAGAGGGATCCAGGGACCCTGGCCGTAAACACCGGCGGTGGCGGCGGCCAAGTAGAGGGAAGCCAGACACCGAAGCGAGTCCAAGGTGGCTCAACACCCGGGAAGTTGAAAGGGAAAGGCCGAGGCCAGCGGCGGGGTGATGTTGCCGGGGAGGGAGCTGGAGTGGGCGACGGGGGGCAGGAGAAGGAGGCGTGTCCTGTTCCGCCTGTGCCAGAACCTGTGCTCTCAGCTCAACAGGTCGCAGGTGCGTGTCATAGGGAGGCAGTAGATGAGAGTGCTGCTGCTGTCGCGGGGGGGAGGGCGTGAACGCTTTCGTGTCATAGGCGTGTGTGCGCCCGCTAAGATGTATGTTGCTGCTCCGCCCCGCCTCCCCCGCTCCACCCGGTGTGTTTGCCGTGGTCGTGTCTGCGTTCGGTAGAGCAGACGCCGGGATGTTGATGGAATGATGGTTACCTTTATCTACACTTTTGAGAAAAGTACTATTGGAGACCAAGGAGGGAGGGGGGTGGCAGAGAGAGAAAACATCTCGTGTGAGGCTAATTTTTCGTCCCAGGGCGTTTCAGAAGGGCAAATCAGGCGTGGACCGTTCGCGTGATGCTCAAAGCTCTCCCATAATCTCAAAAGAGAGTCATCGTGTGCACCAGAAGTAGTTTGTTGGGGGAAGGAAATTCCTCTCGGTTTCCTCAGTTTCATCTCTCATTTCCCAACTCATTTTTGCTTCATTTTTTTTAAGGACGCCAGTATCGAGTTTTGTCCGGTGGAGCTTTCCAGGAAATTTGCTCTCGGCTGATTTATTTTCATCTCTCAACTCCCAACCATGCACAGGTGGACCCGAAACTGACGGACCAGTGCGTCAAGAACCTGGTGTTTGTCGGCCGTGCGATGCACCTCAACCCGGAGCTGTGCTTCGCCGAGGACGCCGGCGAAGAAGAAAACGCCTCTGGGACGGAAAGCCCGGCGATGGAAGAAGCAAGCGACAGCGAGGGGGTTGACGATGACGGCGGAGATACAGCCGCCGCCACCGCCGCCGATTCTGCCGATTCTTCTCCTGCCGGCGGCGGTAAGGCTACCACGTCCGGTGCCGCAGACCCGTTGAGATGGGTGTTCAACCGCATGTCCCACATGGTGGTGCACAAGGGAGAGGCACGGAGGCGAGCGGTGTTCAGCTGGTTCCTGGCGATGGTGGCCGTCCACGACCCCGCCGTTTCCGTGGCCCACCTGAAGCTCATGCTTCTGCCGCTGCGGAGAGCGGTGTTAGACGCCGAGGCGGGCGGGGTGGAGTACAAGGCTGGGGGGCCTCATGCCGGCGGTGGCGGTAGCGGTGGCGGGGGAGGGAGCGCAGCTGCTGAGAAGGAGCAAACTGCTGCGGAGCTAGCGACGGAGGTGAGTGGAGAGTGGCGCTCAAACGGAGCAGGTACTAGAGAGTGGTTGTCAGAAGGTGCAGACAGCTGTTGCGTTGCCACTTTCCGATCGCCAGAGCGTCTTTCGAAAGGTGCAGCTGTATTGGCGTTGTCACTGCCGGGTGGTCCAAGCGGCGAGACTTGCTTTCCGTTGTTCCCCTCTTCGACGTGTGTTCCCGCCCGTTTGGCCGCTCCGCCGCCGTCCCCCGTCTCGTCCTGTCGACGACGCGTGGTCAATGGTCTACCGTATACGACTCAAGATAACGCACTCCCTGGACTGATTTTCAGAGCTCGCGTACTCGACGACGAAGAGGATGCATAAACGAAACGATACGTTTTCGGGAAAGCTCTCGTCGAGACGGCTTCAGCGCCACCGTTTTTGGCGCTGTGACTCTTGTTGCTGTTGAGAAGTCTAGCTTTGAAACTCGGTCCAGGGGGTGTGTTATCTTGTGTCGTATACGGTAACCGCTAAGGCATGCAAAACGTGAGAGTACGCACCCCCCCACCGTTTTGCCGCCTCACCCCAAGGTGATGGAACTCCTGGAGGAGAAGGTTGGCAGCGGCCGCTTCCTCGAGGCCTTGACGGGAGTCAACATGGAGATCTCTCGGAAGCGGGTGGAGCGAAAGCGGCAGCGTGCGGTGGAGAAGGCCACGGATCCGGCTGCGGCGGCAGAGCGGCGAAGGGGACGCACAGAAGCCGCGAAGGTGCGCTATCGCAGGACAGAGTTCGAGGGTTGAAAACGCGAAGTTGTCGTTAGCTCTCCGAGAGAAGCGACCACTCCAAAGGGTTACTCCAGATATGATGCCCCCGACATACGGGAACATAAACGCCTGTGGCAAATTTGACGTTTCTGCTACTACCTTGTGGAGACGTGCGCGTGCCCACATGGATGTTCGACGATTCAAGACGCGAACTTGACTGGTACGTTAGCTCTCCGAGAAAGTGACCACTCCATCGGGGTCCCCCAGATCTGATACCCCAAGATGCAAAAATAAAACGCCTCTCGCAAGTTCGACCGGTTCAATAAACAGCGTGCGCCGCCTGATGTGTAAACAAACTTCCTCTAAAATACGAATAAGTTTTCACGAGTTGTGGAGATGTGCGCGTGCCCACATCGATGCTCGCTTTGTCTTGTTGAATGTGGTGCAACAGAAGGACGATCGTGACTGACGACAGAAAGAGAGGGACATGCCAAGATCTACAAGAGGACGATAACTGTTTGGTAGCGGAGAGCAATCGGCGCCACATTCTTGGGGAAGTAAAATGGACGTATGAATGCCTCTCTGCTCCTTGTGCTCGAGCTCGCTGTGAGTCATAGGCATTCTTTACCTCTCTGGCTCGCATCATCTCAAGACTGAACCCACAAGGCCAACTGTCTGATCACCACACATGCCTCTCTTACCCACTCGCCCCGCCGTTCCTCCGAACCAACTTCTTGGCAGATCCAGAAGCGGAGAAAGGTGGAAGAGTCGGCCAAGCTCCCGAGGAGGGACCAAGCGCATGCGAATGGGGGGCATAGGCATATCCGGCCCTGGCGCCTCAAGGAATGGAGGGGGGCGCGGTGGACGAGATAGCAGTAGGGGCGGTATGAGGGGGGGGCGGGGTGGCGGCAGAGGCACGGGGCAGGGGCGAGGTGGTGGTGGGCGTTTTGGTGGGAGAGGGGAGGGGAGGGGAAGAGGCGGGGGCGGTGGTAGGGGCGGAGGCGGCGGACGTGGTCGACGATAAGGGACCCGGTTGTCGTCGTTTAGCAAGCACGTTGTAGCGAGGGAGCCGGCGATGAGGATGGGCTTGTCAAGGAAATGAGAGGGCGACTAGGAGAGGATCTTTGTGCGCTTTGCGGAACAAAAATTGGCGCACCGATGCGGATTCGGATTCAATGTTTCCGACGTGTGATTCGCGAAGGTGCGTTGAGTCCCAAGCTGAAGTCATGCTGCGGAAGTCAGCCACCAGGACAGGCCCTCTCACAGCCGGTCAGAGATAATTGTCCAACCTAACCTCTAATTGTGACGCGAAGAGTGCCCATACCATACATACTGTCTGACTCCCGGCTAGTTAGTCAACCATACACGTATTGGTAGGTTAGACTGGCGCACAGAATAGATAGTAAGGCGAATCGCAACACACAACTCACCAGATTTCCGCAATCAGACAAACAGCCGTTTGTTGAGGAATTCCCCTAGTTGGTTGGCGATTACGCGCCAAAAACGGCCCAAGCAACGCTGATAAACGTCACGAGATTGCGCTTTAGTAGTCACGAATTGCGGCCTCGAACAAAATTGAAAATCTAAGAACTTGGCGGTAAGAACACGTGCTCAGTTCGATGTGGTCTGGGAACAAGAACCCGGACATTTATATGTGGTGTACCAACGCGCATACCGAAGAGAACAGAGAGCCCCAAAAGGTGGCCGGTGCAAGTCAAGACCGCATGAACGGGGGGGTGACGAGAGACCCGTCAATGGAAGGGAACGCACACACTGAAAGTGACATGAACGAACGAAAGGACGAGAGAGAAATCTCGGCAACATTTTTGGATTCGTGCACGACGATGAAGTCACCGCTGTCGCATCGCTGAAATAATGTCGATACCATCAGACCTGGGTAATGATATCTTGCGTCACGCGGCGGAAACATCTCAAATTCCAAAAAAAATCTAACGACTGACCGGAAGGACCTCAATCGCTGATGGACGCGATGCAAGCATGTTCACTAAGCCCACACTTTCCATTTCTCCCAAACCCAAAACTCGCTTTCATGGTTTTGTTGTGTGTTCGCATGGAAACATGGCAAAATGATACACCTCAAGCTTTCGAGGCCATTGCCCACCCTTGGGGCATAAAACCCTCAAGTCTACCTCAGGTAGAGGTGCCTCGATGATGACCGATTCTATCGGATCACACGCGACCAAGCTGGTGTCGGTTGTTTCCTCTCCACCAGTCACCGGACTTGAACCGGCCTCAGCCGTGTATTGGTGGAGCCCTGCGGGCAACTTCAACGCCGAGAAGAGAAGCGAATTTACCCTCAACAGACCCCCGCTGCCTCAAATGTTTCCCCAGACGGTGAAGGCGCGAAAACGACGAGCCAACAACGCCTGCAGCCACCTTCTCCGATCTTAGCGGCCGTGCCGGAACCAGGGAAATGTGCAAGCGGTATTCTACAGGAAAGCAGAAAACGGCCGAGCATAACTGTACGTAAGTATTTCCTGCCCGCCCATACAGGTTCATCAACGGACCTGACTTCGAGCGCACCACAACCCGCGTAAAGCTTTCAATAATGGATGTCATTACAGGGTGATCGACACCTCACGACCAGAATCAATCGAATTGCTGTGTTCAGCGGAGTAGCTCGCCCAGAACGGAGAAAGGTATCTGACCTGTCTGACATAGGCAACAAATTCAAAGCAACTCGAGTACCTAAGACAACGGCCAATATTGGACAAAACTGATTGCATTGGGAAGCAATTCCGCTCCCGAGCAAGGTATAGGCCACCACATGCTCAAACCTACCAGATTTGGGATGAACTCACAAGGAAACACGTTACATGTACGAGAGAAAACATGTAGGGAAAAACATTAAGAACCCGTGCATTGGAGCGGCGATACCGCCGAATAACGCAAAAAACGGGAAACCGAAAGGATTAGCAAAAGGCGCCGACAGCGTCGGAAAACATGTAAGGAAGTACAAGGCGCTTGTTGAGAGGATGACCATAATCGCATGGAAAACGGGTAAGCCTGGCGGCACATGCAAGGAAGCGTCTCCCAAGACCCAACCTAGACGGGTTAGTCTTGCCATATGTAGATAATAAGCTTAAATTTGTTAAGAGTACAACGGAACGGGATGCCCTCTCCCTGTTCTCCCCCCCATGTTTTAACACTAGCACAACGGATCAAGTGATCACACAACTGCAACGTGAAGCTGCAGGTGGTTCGCGTGGTTCCGGGGCCATCGGCCTAACTGGTTCCGGGGCCATCGGCCTAACTGGGCTACAGGCGCTGCTGCTTGCCCGCCTTGCGGTCGCGCTGGTACTCTTGACGTTACTCGCCTTCCACTCTGACATATGTTGAGGGCAGACCCACCTGTTTCGGGTGGCAAAAGGGCATTGTTCGGAAGGGGAGGGTCAAGAACGAGGTCGAAAAGCGCACACAAAAAGGGTAGGATACGATTGAAGAACATGTTGGGAGAGAGCGCAGCCTGCAACATGAGGTAGGACACCAGAACAGAAGGTTGACAAGCAAAGGCTCGGCGCCGCCTGTATATTGTGTGCTGCTGGATCAAACTCAAAACGACGACAAACACGAGTGCCATGCTCACCCCATGACGCCGTCGGCGGAGAAAGTTCGCTCCATTCCCCCCATCTGTCGATCCCATCCTGGACACCTCGTGTCCAAGAAGTCCAACACAGAACGGTATTCCGCACCCGTGACCTCCTTCACTCGTTCGAAGTTGGTGGGCGCGCCCGCCTCGCCCTTGGTAGGGTCGAGGACATCGCTGACGTCGTCAAGCATACGGTCCATTGCCTCGCCCCCAACGCCGGACAGAAAGCTGTATGCCTCATCCAGGTCGATCACCTCGAACGGCAGCAGCATCAACGAAGCGGCGATGGGTCCCATTGCTCCTCCCGAAGCGGAGTTTCCAACCACAGCGGAAGCCGCAAGGATGGCCATCACAGAAACTCGCAAGAGCGTTGCGTGCTTTTTCATCCACTCCTGTTGCGATGTGACGTCAGGGGGAACGTGTCAAAATTCTTGATGGGGAAACCGTGTTTGAAGCGCTCTGTTGCGCCACGCGGAGCTAGCCTGAGAAACGTACAACCTACACGCAACGGGCAGGATAACGGATACCGTCGACCCGCCTACCAGAGTCCCACTTGACTCACTCCAATCCGCGTGGGGTCCCGCCAACATGCAGACCACCAGCAACATCTAATACATCCTATGCGAGCCAGTCAGTCACCTTTGGTTGAGCCACAAGGAAGCCAGCACCATCCTTTCCGCAAGGCACCAACTCTAACCCGTGGGCACACACGAAGTGCAGTCTTCCCCTGTCGGCGAACCATTGCTTTGGTCGACGAAGCTTTCGCTGCTCCTCGGGAAGGACCAAGAACGTGTGCGGCATTCTCATCTCGTCCATCGCCACATGCTCTAGCACGGTAGACATGGCTGCGACTCGGCGTTGAAGATCGAGCTGCTCTTGCAACACGCGCCCGACGTTGCCGGAAATGGTTCCTGTTCGCCTGAGTACCTCCTGCTGGTCTTCAGATATCACCGCGAGCATTCGCTTGAGGGACTCCATCCCTCTAGTCTTACTGACTGTTGAAACGAGCCCGTGGATCCCTCGCGTGAACGCTTCCAGCACTTCGCCTGCTGTCCCGCGCTCGTCGACGATCCTTTCCAGGGCAAGCCCGAGGGAGCACCGCCACGCCGATCCACGAACGCTTCCAAGATCGACACGAAAGTTGTCTTCGATAAGGGTCTGCTGTGCTTGCTCACGGAACTGGGCGATGGATATTTCCGTCCGCTCCACCGGCGATGGGAAGTAGGGCGTACCTCCTGTCGACAAGTAGTACAGCACCATCCCAAGCGACCACACGTCCTGACGAGAAGATTAGGGCGACAAGCAGGACGATTCGATTGCCATATGTCTATTGCGATGAGTGGGTACAGAGCTACATCGGGAGCACGAAGTCTTCGGAGTAAACGTTGTCGAGCTGTGGAGGACAAGGTGACAAACTCTTGCATTCACTGGTGAAAGTCGAATGCATGCGGTCGACCGAATTCTCCCAAGAGATTGCCCATTTCGTTTTGGCCTCCACTAAGCTTCGATTGGGTGGATCTATGCGACCGCGGGACAACTGGCGCCAACCTGATAGTATGGGACATCGACAAAACACAGCAAAACGTCCGAGAACGTTTCGAGCGCTTCAGGCGGGAGATGGAGTAGGGTCGACGTGCGCACGTCCGCGTCGTCGGTCATCATCAACTCGCTTGACAGTGGAAAGGAAGCATCGAGTGAAAAGGTGGCGAACAACAAGGGGCCATCTTCGTATTTACCGTTCCACCTGTATGGTTCGCAACGAAACACACCTGGCTGCGACGAGCCACGCAAGGTACACCCTGCCGGTCCGCTCTCGCCCTCTCTGGTGCTCCATATTGAACCGACCAGGCAAACTGATCGCTCGGTCTCGACGTGAACGAAGTGTCAGCAGCGGCTCCTAGCTCTCGCTGGGCAATCGATCCGACCTCAACACAGGTGGATCCGAAGTCCACCGCAACCAGACGGTCCCCACGGAAGACGTAGTTGTCCGGCTTGACGTCGCCCCATACGACCCCAAGGCCGTGCAGAGCCACCACCACCTGGAAAAATCCAAAGGCACGAAGAGTAAACGTGTGTTCATCACTACCGTAGCAGAATACATGCGTGTTCCCCACCTCGCTCGCTCACATATGAGCCGCGAGATATAGCGTTAAAACACTCCTCGCCAGCGCATCTACCTGACAGGCTTGTTGTCCCCACAACGCAAGATGTGTGTTCCGCTCAGAAGGCGGTAGTCTTTTCGATTCCTCCACCCGCGCCGTGAGGTTCTGACCCCCTTGTTCCATGGCGATGAAGTTGTGCTCGGGCGTGCTGTAGGCCTCCAGCAGTTGGACCACAAACCCTGCCGCTGCTCCCCCCGGTCTACTGAGATATTGAAGGACGCGGCTCTCTCGGAGGTAGGCCCCGGGTTGGTCCTTGTCGGAACGCTTAAGAACCACAGGTCTCGTTGCCGTTGATTCCGGTCCACCGATGAGCTGGTTGGCTGTGAAAACAGTTGCCATTCCGCCACGGTCACGCAGCTGCATGAGGTTCACGAAACTGGCGCCGGCATTCGCCGTGGACGAAGGAACGCCGAAGACATCTGGTTTCGAGCGGAGGGACTCCATGGCTGCCATGAAAATTCCAGCCTCGTACCTGGCAAACAGTGAATCATACCAAGGCAAACACACGCGCAACGGAAGGGTCGGGACTACGCCTTGAGATGAGAGGAGCTTCAATCGGTGTGTCTGAAACGCTCACGTTCGAACGTATCTTTCTTGCCACACCACAACACTAAACATGTCTGGTAAGATGCTCACTTGTTCATGTTCAGGTCGATAACCAATTGCTGCTGCGCTTCCCTCTCTTGAACTTTGAGAGCATGGGTGCTGCTGATTCCCAGCCCCTCGAGGCCGGCGCAGAAACGGGACGCTTGGGCATCGTTAAAATGCGCTTCCATTTTGAGCCAACGGCCCATTGGAGTGTGCAGAGCTTGCTGCTGTTGGAGAGCTGCTTTTTCGAGCGCAGCTACTTCCAAACGTTGCCTCTCTGCCTCCGCTTTCGCAGCAGCGTCATTCTTCCGCGCCAGAGCCTCCGCCTCCTGAAGTTCCTTGTTCGTCCGCTCCACCTCCTCCTGGCGGCGCCTTGCCTCTGCCGCGGATTCGGCGCGCTGGCGTGCTTCGATGAGTGCTGTTTCCGCTTCGACGCGGCGACGGTCTTCGTCCTCCTGCGCGAAATGTAAATGTGGTATAGTGCGTAGGAATCGTCAATCTCAAAGCACTCTTCATCATACAGCGGTTGCTCCAGCATCTCCAATCACGTCAACGCAAAAAACAAAAATGGACAAGCTCGTGCACGAGGCACTGCAAAACGCGCTTTCATGACCCACGCCCAGCCAAAGCGAGTGAGTGCTGAGCTATAACTCTCCACGTTCTGGACAACTATGAGTTTGAGTAAAGCGTGACGGTTACACCGGAATCACGGCAATACCCTCTGCGGAGACAATCAAGTACCCTGCACGCGCAGTCTTTCTGTACAGAGGTCATGCAAACCCCATGTTCCTACATAACATACCTTGCGCCTCCTGCACCATGCTTCTATGACAAGAGAAGCCAGCACATCAGGCATCTCCACCTTTCCAAGTACGCCCTCCAGGGTTTCCTTGTCTATCGCGAAGATTGCTTTGGGATTATCAAGATGGCAAGCGCGGATACTGGCACCGAAGACCGCCGAACTTCTCCCGTCGAAGCCGAGATCTTGGTGCAACCAACGACCAACGTCCCCAGATTGCCTTTCAAGTTCCTGCTCGGCGCGTTCCTGCTCGGCGCGTTCCTGCTCGGCGCGTTCCTGCTCGGCGCGTTCCTGCTCGGCGCGTTCCTGCTCGGCGCGTTCCTGCTCGGCGCGTTCCTGCTCGGCCCGTTCCTGCTCGGCGCGTTCCTGCTCGGCGCGTTCCTGCTCGGAGCGTTCCTGCTCGGCCCGTTCCTGCTCGGCGCGTTCCTGCTCGGCCCGTTTCTGGTCGGCCAACTTCGACTGCAGCCTGGTTTTCCACGCCTCAAGTGACTCGTACGTCCCAGGTCCCCCTGCAAGAGCGGGAGGGAAACTTGTCGCCGAATCTAACATTCTCACATTTTATCACGTCTTCAGCAGGTGCACACGGGGCTTGACTAAGCCAAACGCTATCTCAACATTTAACATTTTGTGTTCGCTGTAGGTCTCACTCGTGAGGTTGGAATGGAATACTTTACCTCAGGGCGGGTCGGAAATGTCGGCATATTAAGTCACAGTACTCGCTACAACACGTGCAGGTTTGGGCACTACGATAGAGGGCTTTGTTTGGGGGTACTCAGCACTCGATACGGATCTCCGGAGATCTAGGGGGTTTCCTGTATCATTGGTGTTACGTGATTGTAGAGGGGCGGTCCCCCTTCTGCTTGCATGGGCAAGCATGCCCTGCGCACTCGGTGAAATAAAGGTCTTGAGTCAACCTTCTCTTCTCTGCGCTTCTGACAACAAGCTGCCCGCCTCCAAATACAATCGATCGGGCCTGGTTGAGGGCAGTCGGTAGGGGCGTAAGATATAGAAGGGCGCTTCGCGGTCGCCGCTACGCTCGTAGGTTGTATGGCGATGGCAAGTGTGTGCGGGTTGAGTTTTGAAATGAGAGGAACGAAGGAGAGTGTTATGAAAAGAACAAAGAAGTGTTGTGAACAGGAAAGTCGTGTGTTCTCATTTGTACGAGAGCGGAGACGCACAATGAATTAAGTTACAGTGATGCGACGGCCGGAGGACAGAGTATCTCAATAAGTTTTTTTTTAAAGAAACAAAGGCTCGCTTCTCTCTCCCTTTCCCCTTCTCCCATGTGTGCTACCCACGCCTCCCTCAGCGAGAGGGTACAGACAGCCGAATACATTATGCTTGTAGGGTGTGTTCTTCGTATCTACAGCGGTCGGTGGTGAGAACCGGGGTTGAGTACGGGAGGCGAGGAAAAGCAGCAGCGCAAATTATTTTAGCTTATTTAGCACTCTTTGAGTGTGCGTGTGTTGTCGTCCTACTTTTTTTATTACGGCGACAGTCCCCCGCTTTTTCGCGGTGAGACGTGTACTACACTTTTCAGTGTATGAACAGTTATACATTTGTGTTGGCTGGTCGTTATACAGCAGTGGAGGCTGTTCGGTCGGGTGTTCTTTTCCCCTCTGTTTCCAGGCGGCTGTTCGACTTGGAGAGTCGTTCATGTTCTTTGAAGCAGCTGTAACATTCTTTTTTTCTTTCTAGCACAGCAGTAGCGGGTAGAACAGCGAAGAACACCTTTCTTGGTCACAGGTCTCCGCATTACACAGCAGTTTCGAAAACGCACACGTACGTCTGTCTGTACTCCGTGGTTGTGCACGCTGGAGGAAAACATCAAACACGCCCGCCCGCGAGAAAGGTCTGAACCGCTTAGTAAAGCGGGTCGGCCATTCAAGTACTGTCGCAATCTAAGAGGTGGGACGCCGTTGTGGCCCGAAGCGCGGCTGATTGATGGTGCGAGGTTAGCTGTCTGTCGGTCGGTCCCATTTGCCCTCTCTTCAACTCAGAACAACACCCGCCGCCTGTTTGTTGGTGTTCTCTTTTCTACTGCTGCTGCCGTCGACTCTCACGTTTTTTTTTTTTTGTGGCGTTGTGCTGCTGCTGCTGTTTTTTTCTGCTGCTCGGGTCTTGGCTGCTCATATGCATTGTAACACCTCCCTGGCTCTCACCCTTGGTGAGGCACAGGCAAACAAACGCTGTGGTACATACATACTGCGTGATCGTTTGTCTGTGTCTGCTTACTACGTGTATCCATCTTTCTTTGAATGTTCTTTATTTTCTTATTTGAAAAAAAAACACACACTGCTATTTCTGTCTTTGATCCGAAGGATAGTTTAACCTCCCCCATGCTGCCCCCTCACGGGGTCCCAGGTCATGGCAGATAGAAGTGTTTTGTGTTTTCAACCGCACTAAGACTGACGTCTTTTCATTGGTCAGCCGGTTAGGGTCGGTCTTAACGAAGAAACTAGATCTCGAAATCACATTTCGATATAAGAATAAAAGAGTCGGATCTACCCAAATCCGGACAGAAATGGCCTGTGTGTCTTAACGGGAGATCTGCCAAATGGAAACAAATCTCTGCAGTCCACCGCGAACAACCCGAGAGGTCCGCCGCTTGCCAACTGCCAGATTGTTGTTGTGACGTACTGTTATGACGTGGCCACACCACATGGGGAGGTATCGCTCCCGAGAAGCACACACCAAACGCGTACATGGCCTCTGTGTGGTACTGACACGATGTCTATGCATGTGACACTTTGAATCGACCCTCGTCCGACGGAAAGCCGCCAATTCGTCTGTCTGTGCATTTGAAGTTCGACAACCCACGGGAGATTGCCCCACAGACCAACACATCCCACACAAGTTTTTTTTCGGCATCAGTCAGGTGCAACAACGATGCGCAGTCACCCTCCCTTTGGGTTGGCTTTTTGTGCTCTTTCTTTCCTCTTATGCTCGGCGGTGGATGGAGTTCGTGTGGATGGGGGTAGATGGGCACGCGCCGTGTATGCGAGTAGACCTTGGTCCCGCAACTATGGACGCTGTTCACCCAAATCGGGATCCGATTAAATGATTTCACCTTTTTTCAAATCCCGATTTGGTTTTGGGTCGTCCTGTTTTAAGTCCTCAAGATTCGACGGGTTCCATAACATTTCAGCCTGTCAACGAAAGAGTTCTGTGGATCTTCCGGTCTTATAACCAAATCTGAATGTGATTTCGAGATCTGATTTCTTCGTTAAGACCGGCCCTTAGCGCGGTCGATGCTAATAATAAAAAGACACACACAAAAAATACATCCACATACATCCATGTGGCCTCTACTTATTTTCTCCGGAATGTGCGACACACACCATGATGCTACGGTCACGACCCTACAACATACTGCTGTTTGCATGCTAATCGCGCGAATACAACGCTTCTCTGCCCGCCTGTGGCGAGGGTGTGTGTGTGTGTGCATTTCCTGGGCGACAATACGGTTCTGATGCATTTCAAGTCGTTCGGCGGCCTGGAATCCGCGGCGGCGGCGGGAGATGCAGCATCAGAACAAACGGCAAATAAATGCATAACGAACAGTGCGTACTCTATAATCTATGTCTGCTTTTGCTTTTTGCATGTTCTTGCATCACCCCTTGCGGCGGTGCTCTCTTTACCCCACTCCGGAGGGACGCCTTGTATGTACTATACATATCAGTGTTCAGTAGAGTACTACTACACTTTTCAGTGTATTTTTCGTACAACTACAACCATCTAGGGTCACGCAGGAGGGGGTAAACACCAGTTTTTTTTTCCTCATTTTTATTTATTAACTTTCGTGCCCAACCTTCCTCCTATGGTGCGTGCCGAGTAAAAGCAAAAAAAGCAAGCAGAGAATATCAGAAATACGAAGAATTTGTCTGAACCAACAACGCATAATGATTTTCTTTTTTCTCTCGGGCAGGTGTAGTTTTGCAGACAGCAGCTGTGCGCACGACACCGACCGCTGACCCCCCCACTTTTCGTCGGGATCGAAAGAGAGACGCACTACAGCAGCTGCAGACTGCTTTGTCTCATGTCCTGCAGAGACTTGGTTGCTTCGTTGGCGCGAGTGGCGAGGGTGTCTAGCCAGCGCATACGTTACCACGGCCAGCCGCTTGCCGAATGCATGAATGGCCTGCGCTGCTGTCAAGAAATCGGGGTCTGATTGATGGAAGTCACGGTAGATCTCGGAGGCGCGACTTTCTGCCCTCGGTAGCGCTCGGCGACGGCCGCCCCGAGAGCGAGTCGCGCACGGGCGAGGCCCTCGCGGCCCAGGGCTACCGGCAGACACGACTCCCGCAGCGGAAGGAGGTGTACGGGCGGAGAAACCGCGAAAAAAGGGCTCTAGGCTCACGAGAGCATCAGAATCGGAAATACTGCACAATATCGTAAGCCCTCAGCCCGTAGGAAACCCGTCTACAGGTCCATTGCTGCGAGACGTGCTATTTGCGAGACGTGCTACAGCTTACAACTTTGTGTGGGGGGCCGTGTCACTTCCGGAACGGCAGCGTGGGTGGTATTTTTTTGAGAGCCGTATCACTTTCGGAACGGCAGCGTGGTGTCCAATCTGTGTATTGTGTGTGTGTGATCAGCAACTTCTTCTGGAGCTGGTACGTCAGGAAGGCCGACGTGTGACGCATGGCCGAACCGGAGCAGCCATCGCTCCTAGGGGGGGAAAGAAGCGCTGCGCGCGAGAATCAGCGGGAGACTCCGTTTCCCCAATTTCGTACGGTTTCTGGCGCGGAATGCGGCAGCACCTGCGGCGACTGCACCTGCTCCTGGAACTGTCGCTGGAGATGACGTGCGTAGTTTTCGGAGATGCGGTGGAACTCGGCACACTGATTTGAACCCTTTCGTCGACAGGGCTACGGGTCACGTGCTCATGGGTGGTGCTATGCGTCTACAGGAAGGAGGTAGCGATGATCAGAGGACACAGCAGCAGCAGCAGTGGGGTGGTTCTCGCCAGCAAGGCCTGTAGCGGCAACAATGGTTTCGTGTTGCGTGGGGGTAGTGTTCCGCAGCGGCTGCCGTATCGACACCAATCGTATCAACGCCAACGGCGTCCGTCCTTGCCTCGTGCTGCCTCACGGCGACCCTTCTACGGTAAGCCGTAGTTTGGGATTGGGGGAAGTTACGACTCCGGGAAGAACGCGGGGTACCATCAGCCGGACTCGCCGCCTCAACCGAACATGCCGGTGGGTTTAGTGTATGGTGTGGAAAACATGGACACAAGGCTATGCACTGTGCTACACCGAGGCGGTTTGAGGCTAACTGCTCCACCACTGCCGTGAATATGGCCACATCTCAAACATTTGTGTCATGCGTGGTGATGGAGTGACACACCAGCATATGAACGCCGTTACGACGCCTGCGACGACATGGTCCATTGCGGGGGAATTTTCCACGGAGGCGGGGTTGACTTCTTCTTTCGCGAGGAGAGTTCCCAGTTTCCAGTCACTTCAGATTGGTCCTTTGCATTCTCTGGGGCGCCCGTATTCGCGGCTGGACCCGCGGCGACGGCGAGTGGTGTTGTTTTCCCTGCTGCGGCGACGGGGAGAATGGCTGGAGAGCCCACGGTGGCGGCTGCGGCGGTGACATCGGCAGCGCCCCCAGCGGCGACGGCGGAGGCGGCCGGTGGTGGTGTTTTCCTCGCTGCGGTTGATGGCTGAACAGCCAGAGCGCCCGAGTTGGCGGCTGGAAAGGCGGGATCGGCGTCCGTGGCACCGGTGGCCACGGCGGCAACAGAGCAACGCTCCGTGGTGATAGTGGAGTCGCCAACGCAGCTTGTGCAACACCAGTACCAGCAGCGGGAGGAGATAGGGGATGTTGCCTTGGGGGGTCGAGCCACCACTGCTTGGCATCCGTCAGGAAGAGGCAGAACAGACGGACGACACTGACAGCAGCCGCAGCAGTGATGGTGGAAGGCACGCCGAGGAGGTCGGCGCCAGCAACGGCAACGGCAGCAACAGCCGGGGCAACTTCGGGGGTTGGATGTTGCCTGGTTTGGAGCATAGCTCCGCTCCCTCGACCCGGGGAAACGAAGCATCGGTAGCAGCCGCAGTGGTGGTGGACGATACGCCGAGGAAATAGGCGACCGGAACAGCAACAGCAGCAGCGACGAAGGGCTCGATGTGGCCTGGTTTGGAGCATCGCTGCGCCCCTTCGACACGGGGAAACAGCTGAGGGCGAGGGATGGGCGGGGCGTGCTGGGGGTGGACACCCCTTTCGACCGTGGAAAGGCGTTGGGGCGGCGACGGCCGGGGCGCATGCGTTCGCAGGCGGAGCAGGGGAGGAGGATCTGGTGGCCACGGGAGCTGGGCGCCGAGACATGTTGGCGGAAGATTCCAAGTCTGAACCGATGCGCAACGCGGGGAAATTTCCAGGTTTGTGTCATATTTTGAGCGGTTTCTAGATGCAAGTTTCTAATTTTGGTTGACAATCGTGGTAAAGCGAGTATTTCAGATGGATCCAACCTAAGGGGGGAGGAGTCTGAAATTGGTGTTTATTGGAGTTGATGAGAAGTGAGCATTTATTATTATGTGCCAAAGAGGATGTCTTCGTGCGTATAGAAGAGGAGGCATGCGCACCGAGACAAGGCAGCTGCTCGCAGGACATTCCGTTTGCGCCCGATCACGTTGAAGCATCATCAGTGCTGGAGCACAGGGACTGCTAAACGTACGAGTGGACAACACTGCCAGCTACTACCTGTTAAGACGTTCTGTTCCGGGGAGCTAGTGTTGTCGTCTTTGACAATCGTGGTAAAGTGTCTTGCTGTCCAATTTCTCGTTTATGTGTGTTTTGTTGCAGAGGTCTGATCATCGTTTGTTGCAGATAAGCATACGGTCGTGATGGTAGACAGAGACATTGCAAACCTTTGTCGCCAACCACTGTTGCTCGCTGTACACAAAGCTGAAAATTTGATGATGGTGAACGTTACAGCAGGCAGTGTTTTCTAAGAACCGAGTATTTGCAACATACAATTGTGTCGATCAGCTATTCGACCACAGCCACTTGACGAACTTTTGCAAGGCATTTATCGTACGGGAAGTCGATTTTCAGAGTCATGGGGCACGCTGGTAGACGATGTGTTGGGTGCTTATTTCTGTACATTTCTGTTACTGTGCTTGACCTGTAGCACATTGCGGGACGTTCGCCTTGACGGATGAGATGAAGGAGGCACGTTTGGGGGACGAGGTAAAGTAGTATGGGTATACATGTGTTGGCACTGATGGGCCTATGGACTACTGTGTCCAGACTTTGGGGGGGGAACATCGGTGATTGTATCACGATGGAACAAGGAACGGGGTTGGTCACCGACTGCGATGTCGGCACATGGGGGTTACTGCTTTGATATGACTTGTGTGGGGTATTTGGCTAAGGTATGTTTATGGGATGCGTTGTTAGCCGGGTCGCGTTTTGCCTGCGAAGTCGGTGCCTGAGTATTTTAGGGAGGTGGTCCTAGTCGCGTTTTACCTGCGAGCTGGACACTCTGCATTTTGTCTGTAGCGGGAAGGGCCTTTCACGTTCAATTTCTCGTTGGGGGTCGGCTATTGGTGTTTGGCATTTTGTCCTAGACGGGGGTGGGCGCTTTGCGTCTATATCTTTCATTGTCATTGTTTTCTGGCAGCTCGTTGCTGACGTTGTGTGGTGCTCCTGGCGGTTGTTGCGTATTCGGGGTGTCGATCGGCATGATATTGGATGCTGTGTAGATCACTGCTGGTTGTACTGCCGTCGAAAATCATGGGGGCGGGGGGATGTGATACCATGATGCCCGCTGCAGTACATCAAGCAGTATTTCTGCTGACACGATTTTTTGGTATTTGATGTTCGGATTTGGGTTTCTTCTTGTACCACCACAAGTGTTTTGCTTTTGAGGGTCTTGATTTGGTTTACATTTTCTGAGAGGAGGCCCCGGAAGGAAAGGTGGCTGTTGAATATCACTTCATGTTTAGGAATCCGCAGTAAGTCGTAGGTTTCCCTTTGTGTTTCCGTACACATTGGGTTTTCACTTCGTTTTGACTGTACTGCATTTATTTCTGTGTATTTTGGAGGAAGGATTTGATTTAACCTTGACGGACCTTGAGACACTATTCCGAAGGAAAATGAGCTTGACATTGTAAGGTTCAGGGGAGGTCACAGAACCATGTTTTGTGGGGTTTAATTGGATGGCATTAACCTTATCGCCGTTTTACCTTGTGATAGTTGAAGAGTTTCCTAGATAATATCGAGTACCGAGTAGGGGGGCTGTTTGGGGGTACTCAGCACTCGATACGGATCTACGGAGATCTACAGCGTTTTCATGTATCATTGTGATACGTGTATTCCGCGTGCATGCGCTAGCATGCCCTGCGCACTCGTTCATGATATAAGGTCTTGAGTCAATCGTCTCTTCTCTATGCTCCGACAACAAGCTGCTCGCCCCAAACTTGACATGCCTCTCCGAAGGGATTGAAGCCAAATAGACTACAATATAGTTCAAAAAAGAGGTGAAAAAGAGGGCTGCTGGCCTGTACTTTTGACACAAATTTAAACCGCCCCAAGCGTCGACAGCCCAAGCTGAAGGCATGCGCTGGTCCGCCTTTCGATGCTCGTTTCTACGTGGGCTGCTTACTTTCCCAGCTGGCAGCGGGATGGGGACGCTTTTGGTGCGATGAGCCGCCAGGGAGAGCAAGCCCAAGCTGCAGGGGGGGCACTCATGACAGGAAACGCACCCCCCGGGGCATGCGTTGCAGTTTACGTCCCCCCCTTCGACAAAACCTGCTTGTGCACCTTGATCTGACCTGCAGGGTGTACCGAAGACTGAGCAGCGTGTAGGGTGTAGTGCCAGCTGCACGTAGGTGCGAGTTTCGTCGAGGGCCGATGGGTACACATGTAGGTCCAAACCTTGGGTGTGATCTTTTGTGCCTGGCGAGGTCAGCAGAGGGATGACGAAATGCTGTCGCGGGCGGTGTGCAGGTCGGACGGCGTTGAAACTCGGCACAGAGCAGTTGTGTGGACAGTGGGTAGCGTTGGCTGTCCGAGTTTCGTGGACGTTCGTGAGCAGGATGTGGAGTTATCGATGCGGCAAAACTATCGTGTGCCGTACTGCTGTGAGCGGCGCAATTTGACGAGAAAACCAGCCGAAACGGTGTTCGTTGCCTTGTTCCCTCGCCTCGCCACCGTCCTTACCGAGACTTGCGCAGCACGCCTACTTTGTCCTAGTGCATGAGCCGCGGCCAGCATGGGGTTGTATCTTGCTCGGTTGCGGAGAATGCCGTGGCGAAAAAATGCAAGTGGTGACCATAGAGGGGGGCCTCGGGATCTGTACTTTTTCGCTGCGCTGCCTGCGACGCGAGGTGAAACGCTCGGCGTGCTGGCGAGGGCTATAGGGTGTGCGCAGGCAGGGCCGCGAACCTCGTCGTCGTGGCGTTATCGTGGCGCTATTGAGCTCAGAGAATTCAGCTGCGGCAATGAAGAGCAAAAGGGCAAATACACTAAAAACACGTTAAACGGACACTTATAAGGCTTAAGCAAGATAAAATGCTTGCGTTTGACACCGGTGTCACTTCGATTGAAATTTCTTGTACCGGGCCGTCGAGGTGTGGGTCTCGCGAAGGCACCGCCGCAATTTCGTGCACGTAGCTGTCGCGAGCTAAGAGAAATCGGCCGCAGTCAAGATATCATGGTCAAGAAACCGCTTTCAAACCGGAGTCAAAAATTATGTTGGGTTCGTTCGCTTCCGTAGCAGAAACCACAGGATTGGAACAAAAATGACATTCCACAGCTACGGTTGAAGGCGAGCGATTTGTTCGAAAAACGTGACCCGAAACAACATTTTCTCTAAAAGATGTGCCCCACTACCGCTTCTAGGGCATTCACAAAATTACTCCAATTTTTGGTTTGGTCGGTTAGGAACTATTTCCAAGGAGTTTGGAGCTCTCAGCAAGCTGAAGCGCTTTCCCTTTCCTTCGGCCAGCGTACAGGTAAGAGGCGGGCACCATTTTTCCGTTAAGGCATATTTTCAAAGTCGCTCCGCTGGGTTCTTGAAACCTACTTGCCGACGCAACGTACATGCATTTTGGGGCGTGATGCACTTTTGTCGCCGGCTTCTAGGACATGTGTTTATCCAACGCCACGCGCATGCACAATTAAATAATCTGGTGTGACGTAAACGCGCCGAGTCTGTCGGACAGACTTACCGCTGAGTTTGTTTTCGCTGAGGCCCAACGCTTCCAGCTTGACGAGCTGTCCTAGCGACGCCGGGATTTCGCCTGCATGATGGCATTTGGGGGATGGGAAGGGTAATTTAGTTCGTAGGTGGATCGTGGAGCACAGACGTAATTTATTGTAAAGCATCGATGTGCGCAGATCGATACTACTGTACATGTTCTAGAAGCCGCGGGACCCACGTCCGGAACTCTCGAAAGTATACTTTTGCGTGCGCTGCAGGTCCCATTCCCCCTGAGCTGGGGAACCTCGGTGCCCTGGAAACGCTCGACCGGGGGTTCAATGATCTAACAGGTGAGAACAAATCGAGCAAAATTGAACGCTGTTCTTATTTTTCTAGAACAAGACGGTTTCCGTAGATGCTGTCCCGCCAAAGCGTAGGCGAGTACGAAATTTCACAACTGCGGAACTCGCGGGACATATTTTGCTACGCGTCCGATGTTCTGGAATCAAAGACACCGCACCACAACTCTAACGAATTCGATATCTACGCAGGTGCGATCCCCGCTCAGCTCGGCGCTCTCAACAGTGTAACGTGGCTCGACCTGTCCGACAACCAGCTCAGCGGTGAGAGAGGTGTTGAGATTTGAATCCTTTCTTTTTTGTAATTTCTGCAACATGTGCATGTGTCCTGCCCATGCGTATGTAATTGGCGTCATGAAAGTTATCCCGCTAGTTCTGAAGTTTCGTGAACGCGTACGCATCGGCGGGATTCATTCATTTTTTCCGTGGGGTGAAAAGGATTCATGCCGATGCTTGCAGGAATGACTCACCGCTCAGCTGGTTGCTGTAAAGGTAGAGCTGCTTCAGTGCTGAAAGGTGCCCAAGCTCCGATGGGATGGGGCCTGCAAGCGGACGGACGGAAGGGAGTAGCTCAGCGGGACAAAATAAAACAACCCCCCGCTTTCTAGAACATTGGCCCCGTACAAAAGTTTCGTGGACACCTACGGCGTTGGCGTCCACGAAACTTCAGAACTAGCGGCATAACTTTTATGACGCCAATTACGTCGGCAGGATTCTTATTTCGTGAACAAGAAAAAAATCAACTCTTGTTCGATTCTCTAACCTGTGAGGTTGTTGCGGTGGAGCCAAAGAATCTCCAGCCTACTAAGTGCTCCCAGCTCCTTGGGGATGGGTCCTGCGCAAGAATGCAGTAGGGAGAAATATCACTAAGGACAGTTCTAGAAAAAAAATGCGTAGGAAAAGATGTCCCGCGAGTTCCGAAATTGTGAAATTTCGTACCCGCCTACGCGTTGGCGTCCACGAAACTTCAGAACTCGCGGGATAACTTTTTCTGTACCCTGCCAAACTGCTCTGCGTTGAATCGTTCATCTGCAGGCCATATCCCGCCTCAGCTCGGACAGCTTGGCGCCCTCGAGTACCTCTACCTCTTCGGCAACAACTTAGATGGTGAGTTGAAAAGATCGAAAAGAGTTCTGTTTTTTGCAAGTTCTGCCTGCATGAATCCCGCGTACTGCGTGAATAGACGCCAGCGCGTTGGCGTCCACTCACGTGCATCAGCGAGATTCGTACACGGGACTCGCCGCAAAATCGGTCGTGGAACAGTCATCAAATCACATGTTTACTCACCGCTCAGCTGGTTGTTGTGAAGGTAGAGCTCTTTCAATGCTGAAAGGTGCCCAAGCTCCGATGGGATGGGGCCTGTAAGCGGACGGACGGAACGGAGTAGCTCAGCGGGACAAAAGAAGACAACCCCCCGCTTTCTAGAACATGGGTCCCGTACAAAAGTTTCGTGGACGCCAACGCATACACGGGATTCATCCTGGAAATTCATAGGCGTTTTTTTTAGCTCATCCGAACAGTGTCTCACCGCTTAGCTGGTTTCCAGAAAGGTTGAGCCTCTTCAGTACTGAAAGGTGCCCAAGCTCCGATGGGATGGGGCCTGCAAGCGGACGGACGGAACGGAGTAGCTGAGCGGGACAAAAGAAAACAACCCCCCGCTTTCTAGAACATTGGTCCCGTACAAAAGTTTCGTGGACGCCAACGCATCGGCGAGACTCATCCGGATCAAGACCAAAATAAATCGAAACTACTGTCAACATAAAAAGCTACCTGTGAGCCGGTTGTTGGAAAGCCACGGCTCCCGCAGCTCTCGGAGATCTCCCAGCTCCTGCGGGATGGGGCCTGCACAAAAGATACAGCGGGGGTAGTTACAACGAGATTCATTTTTCAATATCATCGATCTCCGTAGATCTTGTCCCACGCGGGATTCATCTTGAAAATTCATGGGAATGTTTTTCAACGCATCTAAACAGTGTCTCACCGCTTAGCTGGTTTCCGTAGAGGGATAGATTTTGAAGCGCTGCGAGCTTTCCCAGCGCCGGCGGAATGGAACCTGTAAGTGGAAGAAGAAAAACGGAGAGATGGTTGCGGGTCAAAACAAAAATAATGCCCCGGGTTCTAGAGAAACACCTAAATACCCACCAACGCATAGGCGGGTACGAAATTTCACAATTGCGGAACTCACGGGACGTCTTTTGCTACGCGTGTCGGTGAGTAGGCGGAGAAGCATTTAGTCAATTCTCTGTTTTTCTCGTACTGCTCTCCTGCTTGCAGGTCATATCCCTCCGGAGCTAGGGAAGCTTGGCGCGTTGAAGACACTCGGACTCAGCGTCAACAAGTTACATGGTGAGTCCAGAGATGAAATCCATTTCATTTACTATTTTGTTGACACAAGGTACATGAATCTCGCCGACGCGTTGGCGTCCACTCACTGGTCTAGAAGCCGGGGCATTACTTTTGTTTTGACCCGCAACCATCACTCCGTTTTCCTTCTTCCACTTACAGGTCCCATTCCGCCGGCGCTAGGAAAGCTCGCAGCGCTTCGAGAGCTAAACCTCGGCGAGAACCAGCTAAGCGGTGAGACACTCTTTAGATGTTTTGAAAAAAATTCCCATGAATTTTCATTATGAATCCCGTGTATGCGTTGGCGTCCACGAAACTTCAGAACTAGCGGCATAACTTTTATGACGCTAATTACGTCGGCAGGATTCTTATTTCGTGAACAAGAAAACTTTCAACTCTTGTTCAATTCTCTCACCTGTGAGGTTGTTGTGGTCGAGCCAAAGCGTCTCCAGCCTACTAAGTGCTCCCAGCTCCTTGGGGATGGGTCCTGCACAAGAATGCAGCAGGGAGCAAATATCAGCGAGGACAGTTGTAGAAAAAAATGCGTAGGAAAAGATGTCCCGCGAGTTCCGAAATTGTGAAATTTCGTACCCGCTTTTTCTGAAGTTTCGTGGACGCCAACGCGTAGGCGAGTACGAAATTTCAAAATTGCGGAACTCGCGGGGCATCTTTTGCTAGGCGTTGGCGTCCGTGCGTCCGTCGGTGGGTAGGTGTTTCTCGAACCCGGGTATTTAGCTTTTAATCCCCGCTCAAAATTCGAATGTGCCCATCTGCTTGCAGGCCCCGTTCCGCCGGAGCTGGGGAACCTTGAGGCACTGAAGGAGCTCTCCCTTTCGAGTAACCAGCTCAGCGGTGAGGCACAGAAACATCTGGTACGACCCTTCTCAAGTTTTGAAGCCTTGGAGTTTATCATGAATCCCTTTCGACTTCAATAGATACCCATACGGACGCGTGGGCGGGCGTCATGCCCGTTTCGACGGAAAAGGGTGATTGCTTTTGGAAACGACGTTGTCGAACTTTGGACTACAGGCCCCATCCCCGCTGGAGCTGGAAAATCTTGCAGCGCTGCAGATCCTCAACCTTGCAGGCGACCAGCTACGTGTCGCGGAGGCTAGTACATGCTCTACAAGCCGGTCGGGTCATTTTTGTTTATTCCCCGCCGACCCTGCCGACGTCTAGAATACATTCTTCCCGTATTTTTGACACCACACGGTATTTGCCACACTTTTCCAGGCATGGCTGCGACAAACAAAAACGGATGGATGTCAGCACGGAAACCAACCACCAAGCCTACGGGGCCCGTGCGGAACGGTTTCATCGAGAATGCTCCAGAGTACAACGTGCGCCGCATCAGAGCCCTGCCATAGAAGAGATACCGAAGGTCCCCAGCGTACCAGAGGCACTTGAAAGTCAGGAAAAGTAATGTGCTGTACAGGTGGCACGTGCTCAAGGAGCAAGCCAGGAGCTGAAACACTGCAGTGCCGATTAGCTTGACGAATAAAAGTAGGCTTGTAAGCACAGCCTGCTGGTACTGCGGGGAATTCACATACAAGGGTTAGGGTTAGGGTTGTACTCAGGCGTAGACCGTGTGCAGAACACGGGAACGTACGGACGAGACAACGTTGTGGCATGTTGTAAGACTTGCAACTTCATTAAGGGGGGGAACAAGAGCAATATTGATGTTGACGAATTATGAAAACAAACGCAAGAGGTCCAGAAATTGTACAACAGACATACAAGACCAGTAGGGAGGCATCGCGAAAAACAGCAATCGTTGATTCTCGCACAGGGCGGCAGTAGAGGCTGCTCAAAACACACATTTCACGCGTCTACCTCCAACAGGCTTCCTTTGAAATCAAGAGAAAAATTCGCTCCATGGCTAAATTCAAGTCAAAAGGGCCAAAACGGAAGGCGCTCAAATAAGGTCAGTTTTGAGGGTTAAGTTAGGCATTCTATTGTCAGCAGTAGAGGACATCATGAAGAGGCGTCGTGCGTGCTGGCACGTTCAGGTTTGCTACTGGAGCTGAAATATTGAAGGTCGCAGCAGCCTTTGAAAACAGTCCGAAATCTGCGCCGGAACCAAGCGGCGTCCAACATTTGTCACAGCCATGCTCGCCGTCACCGACCCCAATCTCCTGAGCTACGGGTTTACAGCAGTAGCTGATGCCCCTCGCTACTGCTGACACCCCTCCGTTCAGGGGTTTACGGTCCGTGGCGGTGAGCATGGCTGTGACAATGTTGGATGCCGCTTGGTTCCGGCGCAGATTTCGGACTGTTTTCAAAGGCTGCTGCAACCTTCGATATTTCCGCTCCAGTAGCAAACCTGAACGTGCCAGCATGCACGACGCCTCTTCATGGTGTCCTCTACTGATGACAATCGAATGCCTAACCTAACCCCGGCGGGAAGGTTGTTTTCTTTCTTTGTATCGGATTAAAGTATGGGAAAAGAGCCAGTGTCAAAACCGCTGTTCTTCCCCGGTTCTGTCGGTCAAGGTGTTCTTGGGGAAGGTCAAAGAGATCGCTAGAAAGAAATAATGGAAGAATAATACCTCGGAGGTTGTTCCAACCCAGAGATAGCTTCACCACGCGGCCCTGGGTGTTGACTTCGACTCCGTGCCATTGCGAGAGGGCGGCACTAGTGGTCCAGTTTTGATTATTCTTCCACTCAGCCCCACCGGTCGCGTTGTATAGGGCAACCAGCGCCTTGCGGTCCGTCTGCGCCATCGTGTAGAACGGGGCCTGGGTATGCGGAAGTTTGCGGGACGTTCGCAAGAGACAAACATTTGTGCAAGAACACATGTACCATCGATTTCTGTTGGTCGTCTCTCGCGACTGAAGTGGTTAATCACACCAGCATCACAAGAGGATGATGATCGCGTCGAAGAACCACAACAACGTCTTCGAGCGCGAACAATCTCGGCGATGTGCGAACGATGAACGATGCCACACTTTGCAGGTGGATCAATAACCCAGTCTCCGAAAGAGAGGAGAGAGGAACAGAATAGACCCACCTTTTCTTTGCAGTTTGCACAGGCGCGGTAGTAAGCGGGGAACAGCTGGACCCTGTCGCGCCCTCTTTTTACGGCACCGCTCTCGTCGTGTGGATCCTCCCTTTACGGCGGGCTAGAGCACGGTGAATGTGCTCCTTGCTGAACTCTAACCAGATGGGACTGCTGACTGAATCAGTGCTTAGTGCTTAGTGCTACAGCAACATGCATCTGTACGTTCAGCCGCTTGTATTCGGCGGGTGGACGCCTCCTTGACAACAGGGGGGGACATAGGACATGTAGATCGGTCCCGACCCCAGCAACTTGTTGACCAATTGCAACTTGGTATTGGTACAACCCAGTACCAGAATACCTGGTGAACACGATCACGGACAGCCGGAAAGCTCAGCTAGGCCGGACGTAATCCCAACCATGTAAGTCAGTTCACGGTGGAGCAGGTGTGTGAGTACCCACTGGCAGTGGTTTGGGGCGAAAGTGTCCAAGGCTTCACTACTAGATCTCGCCATCAAGTGTGGCCTTCAATCGACACGTCATGGTTGAACTTGGCGGTTGCGCCGTTGCTCGGCGCGCTGCACGAAAACGCTCCGCCTCTGAGATCACCTTGGTCGCCTCTGCCCCTCTCTGCGAGGGGGGAGCCTTCGCGATCGAATTCCACGTTTGGCTGCCGGAGCTGATTCTGCTTCAGCGATGTAAGGTAGGCACAGCAGTTCGGAGCGTGTGTGGCGCCAACATGCTTTCGCGCGGTGTGTCATACGCGTAAGTATGTCATGTCACGTGTGTACCTAACCGTGACACCAGATACCACCCCCCCCTGCATGGGTGTTCAAAGCTCGAGTGCTCCACGACGAAAAGGCTGAAGTATAAAACAAACGATGCAGCTTCGCAAAGCTCTCGACGAACCGTTTCCAACGCCGCCATTTTCGACGTCATCACTCTTTTGTTGCTGTGGAATATTTGGGCTTCGAAATTTGGTTCAGGGGGTGTGATATCTTGTACAACCAACGGTCAGCGGTACACGTTGTACAACGAGGTGGTGGTACGCGACCACAATAGTCGTTACGCGCCCTCGACCTGCGGAGGGAACGGGTTTTCTTACCTAAGACTGAAGTGGATCTGGTGTGGAGCGGTTGGCCCGTGGTGTTGTTACAACGGCGAACTCTCTGTGCGCTAAATTACGGCACATCCATGACAAAAATAACGCGGCGCGTCTCGTTTTGGAGACATTCTGCGTTACTTACACCCACCTATACTCACCACCCACTCACAGTAATAGAGTAGGTCCTGGCCTTACTTGCTCATGTCTTGTACGGCAGTTGACGAAGGAAGAATAATGTAATACGGAAGTTGTCATGTGTTGTGCATCCAGCACGGAATATGCGGCAGTTGTATCCTGTCGGTCGACTTTGACACCCGGGCCAATCAGCCCCGTTCCCAACTGGTTTTTCAGCAGAGAATCACATGCTCCACCGCTTGCGCCGACCTGCGCAATCTCCTAACCTAGACATATTATTTTTTTCTTTTATGTTGGTGTTGTGCAGAATCCCGGTACGTATTCACGCATGTGATACGAGTTGTTTGTTGCTAAGATGGTAGTGAATCCCCCCCCCCCTCCCTTGTGGAGGGGCTCGCATCGGTTGGCTCTGATCGGAACACACGCCCCCTCTACTCGTTGGTGTAGCTACACCACCAGATTGGTTTTTCAATGTGAATCAATGTTACTCGGCGGAGTGAACAGACTACCGATGTGCACATCCGTCATACAACATCCTCCCATGGTCACAATAGGCGATGAAATACGCATGCAGTTTCGACACCAGTTCATCGACGACATCCCATGGATGCATGGATGGATGTGCTCCCACGCAGAAAAGAGAGAATCATCAATCATCAAGTTGTCAAGTTGTTGGTGTGCGTGCAAAATGCGATGAACATACTTGCGCGTGCGTGGTGCGGTGGAACAAGAGGTTACAAATTAGAGGAACGACAGCTGTGACAACCCGCACGCCTTGGACCGATAGATCGCGCGTGTACCATGTCGTTGCACGTATTCAGAGTGCAAGACTGTTCGGGAAGAGAGATCACAAGCACTTCTGCACAAATCGCTGCTTCCATCCCTCCATGCGCGCCCGTATGTACAAGAACAGATAATGTTTCCCTCGAAACGAGGCGAATAGTCTATCGCGGGGCACACGTGTCGAGATCAGGATAAACTACACAATGGATTGGTGATGTATTTGTTCCGCAACATTGTGCGCGCGAGAGTAAAAAAAAATGAAACCGTCGATTTTCGGGGAACATATGTACTTCCTCGTCGGGAGGTTGAGCGGTGTGGCCCTCTCGTTGGCAGGCAAAATTGGTAGGCACACAGCTATTCCGGCGTCTAAGGACCTGTCAGTGCAGCTGTAGATTGGACGGGCCTTTAGTTTGGTGGAGGGTAGGTAACGTTTAGATACAATCGATCGGAGCAATTTGGTGTCGGCAGCACGTGCTGCATGCTCGTGTTTCGTTCTTGACAGTGCCGGTCACCGACACAGCCAACCGTCAACGCAGAAGGCGCCAATCAGGCTGAAACTCGCGGAGGGCTGCTAAAGTAGTGCAGGACGGCCGATGGGGTGATTTCTCGCGTCTCGGGCGTTCGGCTAAAAAAAGTGCGTGGTTCAGGCCTTCGGACTGAAATGACCATTCATTTATTCTTTAACTTTTTTTTACCGTTCTGTGGGACCTCTAGAGACCGTATGGTTCTCTTCGAGGAACTACCTGCGGTGTACACTGTTCTAACTCAAACCAGACCATGCGGCAACATATGAAGACAAGGGGGATGTGAACGAAAAACACAAGTCAAACGTCAATACTTAGGGAATGTCGCGGTGCCTGGAGACTGCCTACTTTCGTAGGCTAAGGTCAACCGTACGTTCTACATGTGCTGAAACGGAACCAACACCACCAACAACAACAAAAAAGGCAACAAAAAATAAAAAATAAAGAGAAAATAAACAAATAAAATAAAGTATGTAGCACTGGCGGGATCTGAACTCCAGTTTCCAAACTGTGTGCACCCATTGGACCACCAGTCGAGTGAGGTCATGTGGCGGTACCTGTTTGGTGGCACCACGATATGTCAGTAATTGTTTGGTTCCGGTACCACCACAATCTGGCGGTTTTCATTTTGGTAGTCTGCCATGTGGCGGTACTTTTAAGGGGGGAAGCGGATTAGCATTTTTCGGCGATACGGCCTTCGGCGATACCGGTGCTGCCAGAATATTGCGGGAACTCCCGAGACTGCCGACACTACCGACACTACCGAGACTGCCTATCACGGGGGGACGATGACGTCGAGAATATACCCGAAGGATACCCTGCTTGCTTTGACACTCCTCGACGCTCTTGTTCAAGTCCTCTACGTTTGACATAACGAGGAGCTGTTCGGCGATGTCCTTGTACACCGTCGTGTCGTGGAACCTGAGACGTGCCACGTGCCACGGAAGGAGAGGGGTAAGTGAGCAAAGCTCAGACGACCTCAAGGTCCCGTTGTTTGTTTGTAGGGAAAGTCTCTCAAAGCAATGTTTGAAAGAGGCCGGCAATACCATCGATCGCCTGAAAATATTTGGGGGGACCAATCGCCCGTCAAAGAGAAGATACACAGGGGGGCAATATCATTGTACAGAACAGCCGTGTGCCACCCTAGCGCAAAATCCAACTACTCCGGAAAGATGTGATGTACGTGTTCATTGACTTCCGCGCAAATTGTATCCATTGACGTGGCCAACTACGACGGATTCCGAGGGAAATCATGCGTAAGAGGAAATTCTGCGCATTAATTGGCTTCACTGATGAAGGAAATTGTCCACCACCCAATCAAATGTTGAGGCTCAGACGTTTCCTTCCGCTTTCGTGAGGTTGATCGTCCGCATGGTTCAATTTCGAAGAAAGATATCCTACAACAAGAGCAGCGAGCGCGTTTCGAGTCAATCGGGCAGCATCAATGAAGTCCCCTGCTCTGGATGGCTACAGCTCACCTCTCGAGCAGATTATCCGCAAGCATTTGGCTTATTTCTTTCACGGCGGGGGTGAAAGCAGTTTTGTTGTGGTCCTGAACATGGAATCACGAGGCGACAGGGAACAAGGCTCAAATTGGCGAGACCTCAAGGAGGCAAGGCGAGGATATTCCACAGTACGCTTCAGTTGTCTGCTTCGGTCTCTGCCTGCGCAACAATCTAGTCAGCATCCGGGTCGCAAATTGTTTGACTCGAATCCTTCACCGCGTGAAGCACTATTGACAACCCTCCCAAGAGACACACGAGGGCATCGCACCTTCTTCTTGATGCCACCAGAAAGAACACGTGGCTGGGCTGCCTCTTGACAATATATGATGAAGACAACACCAAGCTCTCATTCGGCGCCCAAAGGTTCGACAAAAGAATAAACCTCCAAAAACACGTCTACGTCTAAACAAATAGGTGCCCACGGCTCCACCCTCACCATTCTAAACATCTTGTATGCGGCTTGCTCACCGAAGACATGGAACAACGTGATATTTGCCGTGAAAATAGATATCAGCGTCAACCCAGATATCGCCGGACGGCAAATAAAAGCTTGCAGCAGTGCAAAGTCATCAACACATATCTCCCTTCGTTTCTTCTCACCGTGCCTAGCTTCTTGAAGGCTGCCTCATCGTCCACAAGGCCCATGATTCTGGCCGTGACTCGACTGCAGATATTTATCTCGAAGGGAGCATTGCGCTTGATGAACTTCTCGGCGATCGCAGTGAACTCACGGAATTGCCCATCTTCGTCGCCATTGCATCCGTAGAGGGAGTGTTGGAATTTCACCGCTTCCTTCAAAAACAAAAATTGACTACGAAAGAGGGTCGTGCGCGCACACAAACGAGGCCACCAGGAAGCAGGCGAGATCAAAACAAGCGCGTGCTTCACGCATGTAGGGCATCTGGACTACCCACACTCAAGCAGACCTACCGCTAAAAGCTCGACTGCTTGAAGGACAATTGACATACTTGCGGGACACGATGATCTTGTCGAAGAATGATAGCGGGGCCGAGACATAAAAGCGTCCAAAGGTTGCCTTTTAGCTTCTGCTTTGAACTAAGCGCGCCTTCTTCGGCTTCGTGCACGCAAATTTCTCCCCGGATGGAAGATGCGGCTCATGAGTATTGCTGCACTCAAAACTGCACCGAAAACCCGAGGAATTCATCTCGAACTAACGACATCAACGTGGGATTTGCGGGGCACCCGCATATCTGGTCCGCAATTTTCGTGTTTTCGCTATCTGCAGTCACGGTATCGTTGCTTCACGGACGTACCAATGAAGCATGTTGGCCTACCTCTGCCAATATCCACTTAAGACACAGAGTACCTGCGTTTCGACCACGCATGTTCGCCCCCTCCGAAATGCTCGCCTTTACGAACGAACGTCTCCCGAACCTCACTTTTGAGTAACGACCTGCCTTAACAACGTTGTTGGTAGCGTGAAGTCAAGTTCGCCGAACATGTTTATGATCGATACACCTGCTAGAATAGGTTGTTGTTGTTGTTGTTGTTGTTGTCTTCAAATTAAAAACCGTTCCGTTCTTCTTCTGTCGGTACTAGTCAAACACTTGACGCGGTCGATTCCCGTGGTCACAGTCTAACTTACCCAAAAAAGGTGGACGAAAATATAATGGACCAGAAGGGTCCGCAAGTCAATAGAAATCGACGACAGAAAGTCTAGGACACTCCGCTCGCCTCTACACGCTATGCGAGGTGACCATAGACTGGAAAAGAGAGTGAAGTAGGAAAGAAAAAGAAAAACAAGAGAGCAGATGGGGAGAAGGGAAACAGAAAGAGAAAGAGACAGAGAAAGAAACACGCCAGAGTCACTACCGTATGCCTTGAACATTATGGGGTACGTTTGTGAACAAAATGGGGTACTAGATAAACTTTTAGCAGACAGGGGGTTGTACCCCGCGGTTTCGTGAACAAAATGGGGTCCTCCGACAAGCTCCCCTCTTCCAGGCCCTAGGTAACCCTGTTCCTGTGGGTGAAAAGAAGAAGAAAAAAAGTTGAGCGTCCTTTCTAAGGACCTGGCGCATGGGGTGGAAGCGCTAGAAAGCGGTTTGAAGGCGCCTACCGGGTATCAGGCGTAACGCCCCACACTGAAAAAAGTATACCCATTTTGTGCCCACACACGCGGGGTATACCCCATTTTGTCAATTGCCCAGAAAAGAATGTCACTGGTGCCATTGCAATATATCTGCAGAATGTAAACGCGTACAAGTCTTACGAAAATGAGACCTTATTGTGTGGGATGAAATCCCCACGAGTCACAGTGTCTCCGTCGACGCGTTAAACCTTACGCTCCAGGACTTGATGAAAATACAGCCAGTATGGGAGGCAAAACGGTTTTGCTGTCCGGGGACTTTCGCGAGATCGGACCCGTTGTCCAACACGGAGGATCCGCTTAAACCATCGACGCCTCACTCATTTCAAGCTCTCTTTTGGTTTATGTCGATCGCATGCGCCCGACTGTTTCTCAACGTGACCATGAAGATGCCGCTTAGGCCTCTTTCGTGCGCAACGTTAGCATTGGCATTCAACCACACACAGCGATGGACGATGGAGTTGATGCTGTTCGGCATACTATACGTCACTGATGACCCCAACTCGGACCCATCCGCCATTGGCGGCACTGGCCCCTTCGAAGATCTCACATCCAACTTGTTTACCCAGACACTCTGGATACAGACCCGCCCTCCTTCAAGGCGCGCGCAATCCTGTCATCCACAAATGCCATAATCGACACCATCAACGAATACGCCCTGGACATGTTGCCATTGGACCTCCTCACAGGACGCAGTTGTGATAACGTCGACCAGGATGCTAATGATCAAGATATAGATTTCGTGACCTCCGGTGATCTAAATGCCCTCGACGTTCAGGGTATACCGCCTCACGCCTTGCATTTCAAACTAACCCTTAATATTTAACAACGCTTGTAGTCAACGCTCAAGAAGCCATTGCAAGATATTTTTTCTACCCGTCCGGGTTGTTCGTGTTGAACAACTTCACGGCCAATCGTCCCTCGTTCTCATTCCACGTATACGGTTCTCCCGAGCCCGGAAACCTTGGTAGTCTATTGTTATCGCTTCCTGCCGACAACCGCGCAAAAGCGAGAGAGAAATCGCAGACTTCATGCCCGCCTGTACAAACGACACGATATCAAATACATACGTTCAACGCACACACCATAATATGCAGGGCACGTTGAACGCATACACCACCCTATTACGGATAGAACAACAATCAACGCTCCATTTATCAGCGACTCTGAATCATGTGCGCCTGAGAAGTTACTTCTTCGTTTGCCTAGCTCTGGGTTGTCGTGGGTGGGGCGGCGCTATGCCTATCTTACCACTCTCCTGAACAGAGTACTTCGAGCGGTCGCCCCAACCTCTCCTGTTGTTCACCACCACAAGGACATGAAGTAACGGCGGTAGCGAATTGCTGCTTCCCGCGACGGGTACAACGAAGCCGTATTCCCACGTTCAATCTTTGTGGCCGTATGACTTCGTTGGTATACCACACAACTACGTGCTGTGACAACTGGCGAAACAATAGTCGTCCAACACAAAGCAAGAAGTACATCTTGTACGAAACTTAATTTTTTCAAATGCTACAAATCTTGAGCCTATGGTCTAGTCAACATAGAAGCCATTCGACCGACAAATCAATATAGACATTACGCTATTCGTATCATCGGCTGAAGGTGACCCGACCATCATCTCCTCGCGTTGAAGCCACGTGCGGGCGTCACCCTTTGTTGAGGGCCCCACAACAACACGTACGATGCAGCTCCTCGCGACAACTAGCGCCCTTGCGGTAAAATTCTGCCACTAGCCGCCATCCTGGCGGCGTTGGTCGCCCCCACAGCCTTGCGCACCGCCGGCTCTCGAGCAGCCGCGACCCTGACCCTGGGACTGGACGAAGGTGACCTAGACGGCCCCACTCGCCTTCGCATCGTGATGGACCCTCCGGGCGATCTGACCAAGGTGCTGTCGAGAGCATCCGGCCATGTCACCTACGCAACAAGCAACCGTTGACGGGATTTTGGTTGTTGTCGATACTCGTTTTGTTGAGGTTATCTCGATCGTCTCCTTGAGAATCTGGTGTATCGTTTTTGTCCGGGGGGGAGTGCATGCTGGTTGAAGTTGACTGCAGCTTTTGCCTCGTGTAAGTGGCAGAGAGAAAAAAGCGATAGATGATATGCCAAACACCAACAATCGCGAATGCATGAGATCGGCCCGGCTTGTACGTCAAAGCCCACATGCACTAAATAGCCTAGTCTCGACCAACCCGTAATAAACGAGACACTGGTTGTAGTGACGTGCAAATAGACTATTCAAGGTTGAGACGAGTTTGTCCATACGTGGTAGGTTATTCTGCTACCACCTCACTTGTTGGCTTGAGGAAAAACACAAACACAATTGGTTGGATGGTGTTTGGTTTCGATCGGAGTTAGGAGCACCCCTGTGATGCGGTGAAGAGAGGTTCCCCAGCAACTGCCTAGCACAAACAGGGCATGACTTCGGTCAGCGTTTTTTAGTGAGGACGGGACTGCTGGAGAGATAGGGGGTGGTCGCGAAGTGTGCGAGTGCACGGGGGGCTGTGTGAAGCTGTTCATTCTGACCGCGCACGTGGCGAAACCTTGTGCAGAGTAGTGGACAGGAACGACAAAATCATGGAATGCGAGAGAGAGAGACCGGGCATTCCGGTCATGTTGTTGATTGAGCTGCGATAGTTTCAGTGAAACTGTCCCCCGCTATTCTACCCTTTTTCTGTTGTGGGGGTCCGTACTATCTGCGATCAATTGTTGTTGACACCGACACAGAGTAGTACTGCTTAAGAATCTTTTCTTCCTCCCCAACGCTGTCAGACGGCTGCACTCAGTTCCGAATAAGAAGGAGGATGGATAGGGCGGGAGCTAGGGTTCGGGGAGGGAAAGCATGGTAGGCGACCGGCGGAGTCTTTGATCCTACGTACCAAGCAGTTGAGGACCAGGGATCACGGGAGGAGGCGAGTGCCAACGAGATAAAAAACGCGTAAACAGACGTAGCAAAGTAACAGGGCATATCCTCTAAGTTGTTGACGAAGGGACGGGCGGGCGGGCGGGATCGAGTGGTAATAGATGTGGCGCATGTTTCGACCTGTTGTCCCTTCGCAGAAGTCAAGGGCGAAATAACATCGATGCTTTCGCGTCTTCACGGCTAGAAAATATCGTATCCAAGTCGGAAACAATTCTCTCACCGGCTCTAGGAAGGTACCCTCCGGGCTCCTCGGCGTCTCAAGCGTACTGGCATCGCTGATCATCGTGTTGGCCTCCAACTTATCGACCTGTCAAAGCATTAAGACAGCGCGTTCTCAGATTGTGTGTGTGTCCGGCGAGTAAAATCAGAGACAGAAATGCACTACTCGCAAAGGCGCAGTAGTACCATTCGTAGATGGGTTTGTGCAAACAACTCCGGCGCCGCTTCAGAACCTCGTGTAGGTCAACATGCAAGAAGAGAGAAAAGCGAAACGGCGAGGATTTCGGGCGTTTCAATAACAGGGGCAAACAGTTTCGAGAACTGCCTTACGCAAGCCGTATGCTTATCGACCACCATGGAAATAAGGCACCCGGTGGGCATTTCTGCATCCGCGGCGACATGGTGGGTCCTGTTATCAAGCAAGGTGTGCCCACAACCTGTCCTCGATGTAGGCGGATTCTGTGGGCACGGCGCGAGGGGTAACCTTATTTCCAACAGCTTGGACTCTTCGTTCCGGAAAGCCTTTTCACACGGACGAAATAGATGACAAAAACACAATCTATTGACGATGTGACATGAACTTGGAAGACGTTTGGAAAACCAATGCGCGACGGGTGCTGGCAAACCGCACAGCTGTAAAAGGGGCTTCTGGGGTGCATGAATGATTGGCCAACGGGTCTCCTAACGGCCACCCCCATCAAGAATGGCGTTCACAAAGTTTAGTTGTGATTGGGAGGTAAACGTCAGCAGACGCATTCGGGGAAACCGTTCTATGCAAGAGTCGACGCACCTCGCACTGGAAATCTTTGTTCACAACGACCCACAATGGGGTCTTGTTGGGCTCGTAGAGTTGCTTGGCCATGAAGCTGGAGATGTGGGGGTGTCGATCCTCCAGCGTGGAAAACGCGCTCCTCGTTAGTGTCATTATGCGCACCCGAGACGTGGCGCGCACCTGTTTGTTTTGGTCACAAGTTGTTGCGAAACGAATGAAATTATGTAGTCAAGCATCCTTATCACATGGAATCACATGAACACCTTGTCCACCTGGAAAAAAATATGGTTTGTCCGTCATGCGAACAGCTACTGTACACCCACGGCAAACCCACGGAGCGATTCATGCAAACACTTATCCAAACCCAGCCTCCGAAATGCAACATGATAGCATCCGGCGCCATTTTGCGGGGCATCCGTATCTGAATACCATGAAAGACCCGGAACGCGAGATCGGGGGCAACAAAGTTCCCGTAGCTTGCCTGTGCTAGGCCCCTGAACGGCACGTGCTCTGGCAGCAGCATGAACATCTCCCCGAAATGCTGCCGTTCCCTCATGGCCATCGTCCTGTAGTTCCGTCTCCCTTTGGCCAATCTCACCTGATGTTGGCCAATGTTGTGGATGAAGCAAGCACGAGTCCACCGATCAAACCACCAAGTAGAACAAAAAAGAATACAAGCAGACATTTCGCCTGCGTGAGATAGAGTTGAACGCCTTGCATTGCATACATCGCGTTGAGATACAGCAAGAAGTTTATTGTGTACATCATTGTTTGTAGGTCCTACTTACGTGCTCCCACTGGTCAACGTCTCGATCTACTCTTCAACCAATCGCTCAAGCCATTGCTAGACGTCATTATACGAAGAAGCCGTTGCGAGGAGGGGCGTCGGCTAAACACCGTGCGCAAAATGGAGTCACACGCAGCGGTCGCAGCAGCAAGCTTTAGACGGTTCTTCACCTCTACTTCTCCACAGATTATGAACCCCATCTCTCTCGTGCCGATCTTCGGCGTCACTATCACCTCGCCCACGGCAAACGTCGCGGGTTTGAGCAGGGGTAGCACCACCCGCACAAAACCGGTCACCTGAACAAGGGAGGGGTATTATCGGACGAGGAACGATGAGGCGTTTTGGGCGATACGATGTACTTTCTCATCAGAGCGAACGTTGTTCAAGTTTTGTAGTGGGTACAGCATCATATCTGTGGACACTAGGACGGCCAATCGAAGTGGGCAAATGGTGTTGCATGATGGAGGAGGCGTACAGGGAGCGAAGGGTAGGCATCTTTCCCGGCGACTTTTGACTCTTTTTCCCTTTGCGACGACTCGTTATTGACCAGGTTGGGGCTGTTCGTACTCCCGTTGGCGGGAAGGCAAAACACGGGGGGCTTTCGCCGTTCAAATCAAAACCGTGTACGTGCCCCTCACAAAACTGTGCAAATAGTTATACGTCTTTGCCGTGAACCGTTCGTGCCACTTCGTTGAGGAACTGTATTTGGCGGCTGGATTTCCCTCTTTAACCTCGGCGTCGTGGTAGTAACGTGGAGGTGGCATTGAAAAGGGCCCCATCTCCCCAACGATTGTCGGGAGGGATTTCCTTTAGTTCACACGACTATTCACCTGCAGAATGTCCTTTGTCAACCACATTCTTTATCTTTACCTGGTCTTCCATGGCGCACAAAAAGGGCAGCTTTGGCATCAACGATCGCCACAAAAACATATAGGCCTGCGCGATATCAGAAAATGTGCAAGAGCGGACATACACGAGAGCAGGGCATGCGTTTCATAATAGTTGTAGGTTTCGCAGTACGGCCTGACTAGATCCGTGCGTCAAGTTACGTTCATTCAAGTGCAAGAGGGTTTTGTGCCGAACCGACCTTTCTTAGAGCAGCAAACAAACGTCGTGCTCTTTCACGCCAAGGAGGGAGCTATCTCAACGAGTTGTACCGAACACCCGAGGCAGCCGTCGATGTGTGTGGAACAAGAAGCAAAGGTCTTCATGCGAGTGCAAGCTTGCATATTTTAGCACTTGGGGCAGTTTCCTCCGTGCCTTCTCACGAAGACTAAATACTTGGAGTTGCATCTTTTGGAACTCGTCGATACAACTATATACTTGCGTGTTGTCTACTAGCGCAACAGACGAGTTTCGTGCCACAGAAAACTGGAAGGGTTTGACCGAGACCGAGGGTAGCATGTAGCATGGATCAATCGTTTGGTTTGCTTCCGCGTCCTCTACCTGGTTTTGAAGATGAGGTAAGAGGTCTCCCAGGATCGACGGCTGGTTGAACACGCTATGTATCTGCGCCGCAGCAGAAAAGAAGGTCATCGGTGGGTTGGTACGGGGAGTGCGAACATGACGGTAAAGCTTGAGGGACGGGCTGGCGTGGTGTGGGATACAGTAGCAGCGTAGGTGAGCAAGATCCCAAAGTACACGTTGTTCGGTATTTCGCGACACAATATCGGGCGGACCTGTGCTGCACAACGATCGCTCGCTGACGCTCCACACGTTCGTGAGAAAGCCTCGGGACATGCTTGAGCCCGCGCGGTGCATATCCTCCTATGGACTGACCACCCTCCCCGATGCAATACATGGTTAGTCTTGTAAGCGATGATGCTTCTGGCATAGTCTACACCACAAGAGCTTGCGTTCATTCTCATCTGCCTCTCTTTCCACCGCATGCCGTTCCAAAGTTCGGTCCAACCCTTGGCAAATCAAACTGGAACGCCATGCAAGTCAAACGGCACTGGGAGGCCCGAGGAGTTGCTACGACGTCTAGCACCTGTTTGTGGACTGTATTGTATCACAAACCAGAGGACCCACATATTGTGTGTGTAAGTACGTGTTTGTTGGGAATGAGCAGCAGCAATGAGCGGGAGACACGCTCTGGGTTTCAAAATAGATGGAGAGAACGCAGTTGATGCGAGAACCTACCCACTACCTGTCTGCACGTGTGTGCCCGCATGGGTGAGACGGAAACAATCAATACCTGTAGATGGAAGGCGTAGTTCCTTGCCACAGCCTGCTTGGCCTTGGTGCTGAGCGGCACCTCCCGCATGTACTCCGTGAGGTAGTTCATCATGCTCTTGCGGTTCCTCTCCGCCGGGTCGAGGTTAAGGACCAGGTTAACCTGCACAGACACAAAAAATACACCCACCACACATCGGTTTTTCTCAACAGCGACAAAGGGCACACCGTACGCACTTACGCAACAAGACTTACATGTGCAGACGCTACGTGAAATCTCTCCACTTATAAGCTGTCCGAGCGCTCCGGATGGGTGGACTACGGCCCCCAACGAGTTTCCTGGTGCGCTTCGAAGCAGAAATGTGCGAGGGCGAGTGAGCTACCTGCGCTGTAAATCGTGAGCTCCACACAACTATATAGCGCTTTGTGGTACACAAGTTTTGCCAGAAGGCTCTCCGGCGGTTGGGGTTTTCTACCTTCTCTAGGTCGTGAGCTCACAAAAGCACTTTGGGGTACAAAGAGTCTTGCCAGAAGGCTCCTCGATGGGTCGGGTCTTGGACTTCACTAATGCTATAGATCTTGAACTCCACATATCAAATAAAGCTCGGAGCGATCTGGGGTAAACATGTATGACGGAAGACTAAGACTTTCCTCCGACGGTTACCCAAATGAGTACCACGTCACACCGTCCCACTCCCCGAACTGTTTCTCTTATTTTCATCAGCATATATACAAACGGCGTGACTGGGAGGAAACCAACGTGTGAAACACGTCCAATCTGTTGATAATACATCACAACATAGTCTCACCAGGTTGCCGATGACCCACGCGAAAATTGTCGCCCCAAGCACCTCGGAACCTATCGCCACGACAAGCTCCATCACCGACAGCCTGTTCATTGTTATAGGGCCCAGTTGTCAGCGATGCTGTCACGCACAGCCTGTTCAATGCTTTAGGAAATAAGGGTCATCCGTTCTACATGTTCTTGGCTATGGCCACATCTAACACTGCTCAGCATGAAATATGCCAGGCGTTGGATATCTAACACCGGGCGTGTTGGTCTTCTTACTCCCACGGTCGTATCCCACGGGATGAAGTACCACCTGAATCACACACCAGGTTCGAGCGTGTTCAGTAACCTTCGTAGGGTTTTTCTATTGAGTAAGTAAACATGTTGGATAAAGCATACAATCGGGGAAGTTGGGTTAGGGGGAGGGTCTGTGTACCCCCTCCCTGTGTTCTATTTCCTTATTAACTTGACTTCTCGCGGAGGCGGTCCAGCGTGTTTGTCCGGAAATGGAACCAAGCACTCTCATATACTGGACACCACGACGTGTTCCACACGTGTATCCATGCACTTCATACAGATAGCGATGCTCACCGGTTGGGCAAGATGTCCCCGTATCCCGTGGTGGTCATGGTGGTGAAGGCAAAGTAGATGCTGGTCAGGTACAGAGAGAAGGCCCGCTTGCTGCTGGGACAATCTGCGGAGACCCCGTCATCCGAGCAGTAGTAGTCGGCGATCCAGTTGTGCTCAGCGGCCGTGTGCAATCCCGCCGCGTACCTGCATGTTTGCATGTTTTGGATACCCGAGGACAGAGCATGATGGAGTTTTATACTCCAGCGGAACTTGGTGGCCCATCTGTGTTTTCGAAGACCTCTCGCTCTGCTCCTCCGAGCAACAAAGGCAAAAACACGTCGTGCGCGGTGCCCGGGGGCAGTAATTTGCATAGTTTTACCCTCCTTGAGGATTTAGTGCGCCCGGTTAGTCATGATGGAAACCCATCGGAGGCATACCGTGGGTGACTTGGAGTCATAGCCCAGTGGATCCCCAGAATCTTCAATACATGAAGGTATCACTAGTGCCCTTGTGTCTATATAGAGCGAGTGTCCATTGCCGCCCACAAAGGCTCATTTACCAAGCCGATTAATTGTCGAGCAAAGGTATGCATGGAGTACTGTGTACAGTCTTTCAGCGAAGCGATTCGTCAGAGGCCTGTCACACTCTCTCGCTCTCTCACCAGATGCACGCGTTCACGTGCGCCGAGAAGGCCATGATTACCAGCAGTCGCCCAAGCTTGACGCTAGAGGGACCGAGGGGGGAGTTTTCCTCCCACTCCTCCATGAAGTCAGGGATCTTGAGCAGGCGGATCAGCCTCATCAAGCGAACCAGGCGCAGCATGCGAACCAGCCTGGTTGATCTGTTTGTCCGCATGCGCGCGTTATTTGCACAACATGTGAGTGTTTCCTTCTCTTCTTGTTGCGGCCATTCTTTTTGCCCACAAGGTGTAGAGACGGATTGGTCAATCCCGTCTTCTTTTTCCGTGACGATTCCACTTGATTCTTTCGTAAACAAGAAGCACGGCTAGGATCTGTTTCGTTTCGCCCCCCACGCGCTAAATCGTGTATTATAGTGCACCACTTGCGACCAACGCACTTGTTGTCAGTTTCCTTCTTAGACTGCTCGTTTATTTTTAGTGTAAACTGCTCAGACGTTGGAGAACAGGATCAACAGTTTGTTGCTTGACTCACGTGGCCGCGTTTGCGTTGCCCACTGCAATCTGCAGCACTAGCAGGTCCCAAGGGACCGTAGATATCAGATCCACCGTGAACCACCCCTGGTCAATCAGAACGGTGGGCATCGTCAGACAGTCAGTCGTAGTCCACAATAAATACCCCACTGT